ACCAAATGAGGCTGATGATTCGTATGACGAACCAGCACTTGCACCGAAACCACCACCACCACCACCAGCACCAAATGAGGCTGATGATTCGTATGACGAACCAGCACCTGCACTTGCACCGCCACCACCACCGAGGTTTTGACCTACAAATAGAAGTTATTATCATTAGCTCATACACAAATAAGAATTCAATAAATATATCTTACCAAGAAAGTTACGGAATTCATTGATATCGACACGTCCATCACCGTTTGCATCAGCTTGTTGGAACGCGCTATCAGCACCGCCTCCCGATGAAGAAGATGATTGAAATGAATAGCCAGCCATCGTTATTTTTGTACTGTGGATGAGAGTAGATTGCTTACAAGTGAAAGTAAGAAGTGAAGAAAATCTGGCAATGGATCAGTGTTTATATAGTCCTTGTTGATCATGCATGGATAGAGATGAAACAGCGGGGGAAATAGAGAAACGATGGTGTAGATGAATGAAAGCGTCTTCCAAGGTTGATCGTCATGGTCGTTTTTATGCATGAAACAATGATTCTTTAGTAAGCAAACAACATAGTGGTTTACTATTGAGAGATGGGTTAGGCATGGAAGAAAATCGAACGATACTATGTGATTAGTCGAATTCAAACCTTCAAATGTCACTATCAACATGAAAATATGTCGCTCTTCGAGTCAGAACCATTATTATATTGAAAGCAAGTATATGTTTGTTTAGATCATAATACATTCAAGGAAACAAACAAGAACAGAGTGTATTCTTTAGTAATACAATTTTTATTTTCATAAAACTATTTTTCAATAACATATTTGCATGCCTTCTGTTTTGAATATAGCTATGGTCTATATCAGATAAATATGTGTAAGATTGAGATTGAAGGCTATCTTTCAAAGATGCATATCGCACTGGCTATAGTTCTATAAAAGACTTGAACACGAAGGTAGGATTTTTTGCCGTCGTCATTTGCTAACAGTCTGTCTCGTGTAGAATATCGTGGCAACAATAATGAAGAAACTAGAAGAAATAAAATTTTCAGATTTTCAGGGTTTGTTTCGACAGATATTTCATATTTACTTTGGCTTTATTGATTAATTAGTTAAATATATGAGCAGCGTGTTGATATTTGTTAAACTTAAATTAGATCTATTCAGTTCAATAATATTGGAATCGACTGTTGATTCTATTTTGTATTTTCGGCGAATATTTGAGCTCAATCAGCTTCAGGATTATTGAGTGATGATGTTAAAATTGTCTGGAACAATTATTGGAAGCATTCAATTTTTTTCTTGCTTATGTTCAGAAATATTTTCATATCTAAAAAACGAAGGAATAACAAAATGAGGTTTAGAATCTTAACTTTAGATGGATGCTGAAAGATAGATAGAGGAGGTTCAAATAAAGTTCTTGTTATTTGTTTAGTGAAGATATTCGTCAAGTAACGGTATTTGACTTTTTTAAAATATTAATTGATAAATTTCGTACTGATATTTCGCATATTTCAATCAAGGCTACTACAAATGCAATCCAAACTAATAAAACGTTTTAAACGATCAGAAAAGAACCCAATCGACTTCTACATGATTCGAATTCTATTGTCGATATTATTTATGCTCAACAAATTCATATGTGATTACCATTGGGGTACTTTAACGATGCATCACAGTTACTTGGACATCAATCGATAGCCAGATGACACATAATAATTTTGTAAGTATTAAGAAATCCATTTTTGGTTCGTAATGAAATATACATTGCAAAGAAAAACTCGGTTTTTATTAGATTGAAATAAAACACAACACAACAAAATGACAATTCCATTTCTCATTTTGGAATCCACATTAAACAAAAAATTCAAAATAATGAATAACTCAACAAAGATCCAGCATCATTAACATTAACATGCTCGAAAATGTTTTTGTTAAGTATATCGTCAAATGAGATGTCACCTTCAACTCGATTCAAACCAATCTATGACGATTTCATCGTGATATTGTCATCTACAATGATTTAGAATGCTTTTTCATATAATGTCAAGTTCAACCAAAATTTTGAAAACAAATCCAGAAGTTTCGAAATTAAGGATAAGAATAGAAGACGGTATTAAAATATTTTAAATTATCAATTTAATGAACAGCTTTTGTTCAAGTGTACCTTGTCGTAGTGAATTTACATGGAGAGAAAAAAAGAGACTTTATATCGTAAACCCCCCCCCCCCCCCCAAAAAGAAANTGTATGAAAAGTTTTTTTGGGGGGGGGGGGGGGGGGGGTTATTTTATTTGAGCAATATTTTTATCGCAGTTTATTAGTCTTCTAATTAAATATGCTGCAGATATTAACTTTGAAGTATCAGCTTATTGTATTGCAATGTCTTGCTGACTTAGTTCTACAATCTCATGGAGTGAAATTCTAGATAATGCGATACTCTATGATAAAATAAGATGTATCTTTCATTCATATTTAATAGTTCTTAAATTTATAAATCTCATTTAGTTCGTTTAAAAAGAAAAACTTTCGGATAGGGTTTTTTCTGATGTTAATGCAGAAGAAATAAATGGTGCATAGGTTAATTTAAAGTCAGAATGATAAATATGAAATCTCAATCTAGTTAAACGATATGTAGTACTTTATTTTTGTAACGAAAACGAACATTATTTTACTGTATGAAATCTAATTAGAAGGAAACTTTATGTAAGCTTGATACTTTCTCAGCGTCATAAGTAAGAAAAACAAATTAAGTTGGTGATATTTACTTAACCAAAACTTTTATTTTTACGATCTGGCTTCATAAATTTTTCTCTTGTATATCTTCATATATTAGTACAAGTGCCTAACGATGTAAAATATTCTTTTGCATATTGAGTATGCAGGATTTTCGTGTTGAATATTCTTGTCTTAGCAATATCGATGAGATAACATAGGTTTAGGAAGTCTCCTTCGTTTTCTCCGAATACTGCAGAGATGCTCATCAGAAATTGTTTAGCGAGATCTGAAGTTGCTATAGCATATAAAACTTGTCCAATGTTAGAATTACGATGACAAAAAATTGTCCGCATTAATCTTTTTTTCTGTCTTTGAAATAAAACTGCTAAACTATCGATGGTGTCATAAAAAATAGGGGTTATTTTCAATACTTCGCTTCTTTTAGCAGCTACTAAAAGCCAGTTGAACAATATTTTTCGAAACAAAAATGATTTACTCATTTCAACCGATATGCTAGTGTATATAAAAATAATTTTATTCAGGTTAGATCTACTGCATCGTAGAAACAGAAGTATTGGTGTTATGTCTTTTTTTCTCTCACATTATTAAACTCAGTTATCAGCGAGACAGCAACGTGATAGTATGACAACAGAACGGAACAAAAGGATAATCTCCCTCCGATCGAGTAGAATCAACGTCTTCTGCTTTCCGGGCAGCTGTACTACCACTATACTAGAAAGGAGCGTGTATTATTCGTTTGTTCCGTCTTAGGATCGAAGGGGAACACTTCGGTCGTAACAATTGGTGATGTTTACTTATGAAAATATTATTGTGTAAAAGAACACGACGAAATGTGCAATTTTCTTTGTGTGACTCTTATTGTTTTCTCTAATTTATTAAGCTACAACGACACATTTCAGGTGCATCAAAGCATTTAGTTAACAGAAGCTATCTGAGATCGGCAAAAGCTACAAAAATAAAAAGTAACATTTAACCTAGAAAATTTGGAAGACGTTTCTTAAGTTAAACTTTTTTTTTGTAAATTATTGTCAAACAAAGATTATTCACAATATAAATCGAGTATTTTATTAGTGTAAAGATATATTTCACTCTCACTCGATGTTATGTTTGAATTATACTACAAAGTTTATTGAGCCTATTTTAAATGGCAAAGTACGATGAATTTGTTATGTGCTTGATTATGGAGATAAGCCAAGGTTTGTAGTATATTTTTGTTTGGATACGATAAAGACACTGAAATTACTATACATTGATTTAAGTTCTGCAGAAAATAGATAAGATTCAACTAAATCGACTAGATAGGTATCAATTGATCGTAAACTATGCAAACTGTCTGGCTAAAACCAAATATATCTCTTTCATTCTTATTTAGCTATCATACTTCTTTTTACAGATGAGTATCATTTATTAATTGAACAACAATTAAATGAACATAACTTATCATCGTTGTGGATCGAAAAAATCTGTTTGAGACAATGCTCTATTGTAGTTTCATCCTCAACTAAATTGTGTTTAAATAGGAATTAAAGTAATCTAAAAAAATAAGCTTCTTTAAAAAAAAGAATCCACTGATTAGCTCATAGTTATATCTTAATATACTGCTACCAAAAAAAGAAGCAGATCGATATTGGTTTTCAATAACGAGTATACCATCCTTTGTAAAATAGTGCAACGAAGTTAAACGTAAATTCATAGGAATGTTACTAAAAGCAACAGAAAAAAATGGTAGTGAATGAATTTCGAGTAAGAAAGAGCAGGAAAGTCTCTATCATTCTGTTGTTGAAATGAGATCAGAAAAGTTTCAGAAAAACAACGATCAGTTAATATATCATTTGCAATGTATTTAAAAATCCATCATCATCAAATAAAAACAAAATTCGAATAAAGTCGTGTCAAACATCATAAAGAAATGCAGTTTCTAATACATAAATACAACTTTGTCCACCGTTGTAAGTAAACTTAACAACAAATAACTAGAACGATGTTTCGATATTTTAGTGCTGTCTTTCACCTACAAGCAGTGTCACCCTTAAAATAGCTTTTATTTTCATCTGTATTTTATAAACAACGATGAATCATATATTATAATAGAGGAAAATATGTATCTTTAGTAAATTCTCATTTTCTTTCATGTCTATAAATCGGTTGATCATATGAATCTCATTCGGTTAAACCGATAATTCATCGTCTTTCAATACTTTATCAACTATCGCATGTGACATATAAACAATGTTTTTGTTCGTACATTTCTTTATTAAATTTTAGTGAAATCATAACCAAAGCCTAAACGATGGCAATGCAGCAAAATAGAAAACAAAACGGCACAAGTATCAGTCACATACAATTAAGCATCGAAAAATGAAGTAAGTAAAACTAAGCAAAACTAAATTTAACCAAATACAATGATATTTCTTTCGTATTACAGATGATATAGCAATGGAATGGTTGACTTTTACTAGAAACTTCTGATTCTTTAATAGCCAACTGATGATGAGCTGAATGATGATTCATATGAAGATCCACCACCAGCACCTCCAGCACCACCAGCGCCACCAAGATTTTGACCTGAGAAAGATGAAAACAATTTAAATTGTTAGTCACTATCACATGACCACAATCCTCAGCAAAACTACATACCAAGAAAGTTACGGAATTCATTGATATCGACACGTCCATCACGGTTTGCATCAGCTTGTTCGAAAGCACTATCAGCTCCCCCAGCACCCCCTGATGAGAAGCTTGATGATTCAAATGATGATCCACCGAATCCACCACCGCCACCAGCAGCGAAACCACCTTCGAATCCAGCACCACCACCTGATGAGAAGCTTGATGATTCAAATGATGATCCACCGAAACCGGCTTCCGAACCTCCGGCACCTCCGGCACCTCCGGATACAAATTCAGCGCCACTAGCACCAGCACCGCCAGCCAAGCCTGATGAAGCACCAAACGATGATTCTTGGCCATATGAGTTAGCACTGAAACCAACTGATGCACCAGCTGAGGCACCAGCTGAGGCACCAGCACCAGCTGGAGCAGACTATAAAAATGAATATTACAACGATGAAGAAACTCAAAACAAAAAAACACCTATCACGACAATCAACTTACGATATCTTCGACAACACCGGCTGAACGAGCTCGTTGAACAAGTGTGCTTGCATCAAGAAGTTGAGCACCATATTGTTGAAGATAAGCTTGTGGATTAGCTTGTACAACACCAAGACGTTGGAATTGACGAACAACACGAACTTGAACTGCTTCGTATTGAATGATAACATTGCGTGGTGCTGCGTATTGAGCAGCGGCTGCAGCACGTTGAACAATGGTACGTCGTTTACTTTGAGCGCCATATGGAACCCAACGTTCGATGATGATGTCACCTAAAAGTAATTGTATGGTATATCGATGTATTCATATGATTGTAGAGAAAAGTATATGGACACAAGTACTAACGTGGTTTGGGTGGGAGAGGTGGGAGACGTTCGATGATGACCGATCGTGGTGGAACTGGTAAAGCACCTAAACGACGGATGACTGTTTGAGAACCAACTGGTGCTGGTGGCTGAGGTGGTCTTTCACGAAGAACAAGAGGTGGTGGTGTTGGAAGAGGTGGAGCTTGTTGACGAATACGAAGTGGTGGTGGTGGAGGTGGTTGAGGTGGACGTACTTCCTTGATGATGAGTGGCTAGAAGTTAGATGAAAAGAAAAAGTCAGATTTATGATTCAGATGATGATGAACGATAGAAATATCACTTACGCCTGGTGGTGGTATTGGTGGTGGTTGAAGGAATCGAACTTTGATGTTTTGTGTGTATGTTTGTACACCACCAACAGCTGCACGACGGATGATTTGTGGGTTAGGATCTTTGAAGAGTCCTTGAGCATCAGTAGCATATTGGGTTACAGCAACGCCTGATGATCCTGATGATCCGAAAGCTGCTCCAGCTTCACCAGAGAATCCAGCACTGCTTGAAGATGATTCGTAGCTACTTGCACTACCAGCGGCACCAAAACCGCCACCAGATGATGATGATTCGAAGCTTGAACCTCCAGCACCAAAACCTGCACCTGCATCAGCACCAAAACCTGCACCTGCACCAGCACCAAAACCTGCACCTGCACCAGCACCAGCACCAAAACCTGCACCGGCACCAGCACCAAATGAGGCTGATGATTCGTATGACGAACCAGCACTTGCACCGAAACCACCACCACCACCACCACCAGAACCAAATGAGGCTGATGATTCGTATGACGAACCGGCACCTGCACTTGCACCGCCACCACCACTGAGGTTTTGACCTACAAATAGAAGTTATTATCATTAGCTAATACACAAATAAGAATTCAATAAATATATCTTACCAAGAAAGTTACGGAATTCATTGATATCGACACGCCCATCACCGTTTGCATCAGCTTGTTGGAATGCGCTATCAGCACCGCCTCCCGATGAAGAAGATGATTGAAATGAATAGCCAGCCATCGTTACTTTTGTACTGTGGATGAGAGTAGATTGCTTACAAGTGAAAGTAAGAAGTGAAGAGAATCTGGCAATGGATCAGTGTTTATATAGTCCTTGTTGATCATGCATGGATAGAGATGAAACAGCGGGGGAAGAGAAAAATGATAGAATATTTTCGCTCGAGCGCCTTGCGAACACGTATGGAATGGATGTCTTTTGTACATTTAACAATGATGATTTGATGGAAGAGAAAAAACGAGACGCAGAAAAAAAGAATGATTCGACGGGAAAAGGAGAATTTAGCGCTTCAATATGATTACTCAATCATAGGCCTTCAATTTTTATTATCATTTCAAAAACAGATTGACATGATGCTTGTGGCCGTTGTCGTCACCTTGTGTGTGAAACAGGTAAACATAGTTTACATGCAATCATCGAAGGACAAGTAGAGACAAGTGCAAGTAAAATATGAAGTGATCGTATCTATTTTGAAACGCTCTGAGAATCACAATCCCGGCTCGTCGATCTTACACTGCATTATGTTTATTTCGATATCAATGTTATTTTAATCGATAATAAGTAGCATAATAATATAGCATCTCTGAAATTGAAGTTTATTTATTGAAATTTCATAAGCAGTAAAAGTCATAATTTATATGCCAAAACAAAAAAGCAATTCTCAATGTTTTTCATTAATATATTTCGGTAGATTAACTGTAACGCAGTTTAGACCTTGGACAGGTAATTGGTTTTATTGACCTTCGTTTTTTTCTCTTAGATTCTTGGGCCTTTTCATACAATCATATACTTATTTTTTTCAAATCTGATACAGAAAATGTGTTACTAATTTTTGCGAGGTCGTTAATTTCATCTTTCCAATGAAGGCTATACCCTATCATCGATATTGTGCAAGGCCGATACATTCTAAAATAGGAGCTGAGTTTTTTTTTTATTAAATAGGTTGACCGTGAAAAAGAAAAGAAAAGAAAACGAAGCAAAAAAGCACACTGTTATTGCATGGACGCACACGCATATTTTCACCTTAGTTAAAACGTAACTCATTATAATAATTGAGTAGACTAACAATGCTAGTTTGGTCAGTTGTTGTTGTACGAACAACTCGCTGACGATCCGCTCGCTCAAAATTCGATCGAACTAGTTCATAATATTCACCATCAGCCAATACTAATGATTGAAGCTTTGTACAACGAATTCTAAAAAGAAAATTCATAAGAAATTAATATAAAAAATAACAGCTGATATGTGAATATGATTGTACCGAATGTGATCAATAAACTTTGAACTGTTTTCGTTCCATCTTAATGTTTCTTCATCCCATTGAATTTCTAATCTTTCAAGTTTTTGACATTCGAGTGCACATGCTTCTAAGATTTGATCAACATGAATACGTGTGTTTATCTTTTTAAACCAGCCGTGAGGAGTGCCAGTTACCAATATTCTTAAGATAGATAGAGAAAGACGGTATAAACTAATGTGGATTTCTTGTTTTATTTTTTATATTTGGAAAAATTCGTGTAAATTATGCAATGTAAGAGTATCAATTAGATGATTATCCGTAGATTTCGATTGAACATATACAAATACTGTAAAGAGCTGTCCTTATAGGAGTTGATTTCATCACGAACTTGATAAATTTATGTTTTAAATCAATCAAAACTTTCAAAACAGTGTTCGATAATTATGGTACTATCAAGTGAAGCTTGAGCGGTTTTCGAACACTAAGCATACAGATTTTATCTTATCCATAAATCTTGTTCTTTCATATAAGCACATTTTCTGTTCAATTAACAACTACATAACTTTTGTCGCATTTAAACAAAATAAAAAATGATTGCATGTCACAAATGAGTACACGTTCGTATAATTTTATTGTGTACTCAAAAAGTGAGTACACTCTAGAATCGGTCAGTGTGTCCGTCCGGCAGTCCGGCCGTAGGCACGATAACTTGCGAAAGGAGAGTCAGACCGTGATGAAATTTTCCACACAGTTCAATCTCATGAATATCTCGGTCGAGTTCAAAAATGAGAAAAATCCGTCAAGAAATGGTTGAGTTATCGAAAAAATTGTCATTTTTGACCAGGCCATCCCTGACTGAGGAGGAGTACAGGGAATTTTTTTCAAAAAATAAATCTTTCTCAGAATTATTCACAACATATATAAATCGACTCAATTTTTAACGCTGATTCCGAATCTGATATTAGTTTTGAGCTAAACCGTAGCTTTCTGATGAAACATCGCCTGAAAAACGTCTCAAAATGCACAAAAACTGCATCCAAAAATCAAATTGCCTAGTTTCTCATGATAATTTTGATGTTCAGACATTCTAGAATGACTCATATGTCCCATGCACTTTTTGCAGTACACATAACTTTCGGATGAAATCCGAAGTTTCCACATTTTTTTCTAGTAAAAATAATAGTTTAATGCCATTTAATTCTTGTTGACCCCTTCTTCAAACGCTAGAAGACTTTTTCAAAGAAAACTTCGATTTTCTACGAAATAACAAAACATCAATACTCGTTACTACTCAAAGATCATAGTATTGATAAAAATGACCTGTTAAGATAATAGTTTCCACTTTATTGATATTTACCGAAAATTCTTCCTCGGTCGATAAAACTAAATTGATTAAATTTTTCGTTTCAAAAGATCAAGTCTACGTGAGATCATGTTAAATACATTCATATGAATAGAAACAGATTCTATTGCTTCTAATGAAGATTATTAGAGTGATCATCAAAATGGCATTTTAATTTCGTAGTAAATTAGTTAATGAATACAAATCACATTGCCTTTCTCCATTATTAAAACTTGACTAAAAGTAATTATGATTCTGCATGTTACTATAGATCGTTTCTCGTAGAATGAATTTCGAAGCAAAAAATAGTAAAGACATTTTGCAGTTAACTGATTTATGCACGACAATAAGTTGACGCATAACAATATTTAACACTCATCCATGTTAGATTATATAGAAGAAAATAAACTTATGAAAATTGCAGTTGTTATTTTTAATTGGTTTTGCAATTTATTAAAAGAAACGAACCTTTTCCAGCTTAACAAACCAAGATATAAACGAATACATTCATTTTACAAAATTTAAAGCCATACTTTTCGTGACTATTTGAATTCCATGTATGCTTTTGAAAAACAAAACTTCTAAACACAAATAATAAAAGTAGATATTTGAATTTATTTACATGATTTTTGGCGAAGAGATAAAAATTAACATACCAAAAATTCATTTTTCTATCGAAGAGAGCAATATCTCAGTACGATAGTATCATTTCCAAAAAAATGTAGCGCTTGCAATGTCTCGTTGATGAACATGAAATAATTCTTCCTTTCCTTGGCTCCTGCTACTATCACACGCTGGTCGAATATCAAATAGAACCACTTTACATATTACCACAATCATAATAGATCAACTGGACCAAGATTGCGATGATTGGAAATTAAATTCCCGTTTGTTAAATTTTAAAAATCCAACAATAACTCTATACCTTGTGAACACTGACGAATTCTTACGTAATATGTTGTTTTCGTCATTTATGTTTTCAAAGTACTATGAGAAAAAGGAATATTTTGTCATCGATTATTTGAAACGTGAATTACCGGAAAACAACATATTCAACCAAAGATTCATATATTGCTTGGAAAAACTTGGCTTTTTCTAAGTTATCAATGAAAAAGATGAATATACCACGCTGGTGATATTGAGTATCATCATTTAGATAAAATAAATATGATTGTAATATGCAATTACGATTACATAACGAAAGATATTCGATAGTACGAATGAAAGAAAAAATCGATAGATTTTTTTCATATTCAACGAGGATATAAAAGAACAAAAGAATGCACCATATTGTATTATAAATATATTCGGCTCGATATGTACATGTTCATTTAATGATGCTGAAATAATAACAACAATAATTTTTCATGTGTCACTTTCGTATCGTATCAAACCAAGGACAGCAAAGAATACTCATATAAAACTATGACGCTCATCATTTTGGTTCTATTTTATTAAGTTTAACAATCATAGATTTGATTGATCGATATTGATAAATTTTTCTTATCTTTCGTTAAAGTTAAACATAGCGAGTCAATAATTCGATAAAAAGCTGATACAGAACAAGCAATGTAATCAGATTGTTCTCTCTACTTTCTTGAAGACTTAATAGAATAAAAATCAAAATAAATTAGTATCAAATAACTCAAACGGTCCGAGATAGAAATTTGCTTCGATTTTGGCTTTTTGAAAAAATTACAAAACATAATTCTTGATTGAAAAAAGAATACATCTAAAACAGTTTGATATTATGCCTATCAGTTTTTGACCTTATATTTTATACTGTCAACATTATAATTATTATCGTTTACTATGATACATACATAAAACGATAAATCAAGTATGCTGTGGATACAGAGAAAATTTCAAAATGGATAGATAGTTTGTTATTATAAATGCATTATAACAGTCAACCATAGCCGTTTTAATCGATCTGAACCGAGTATTTATTAATTGCAAAAAAGGCATCTTACACACACGAACTGGACATTATCAGTGTTCTAAGTGTTTGTTTCGATTATTCTTATAACTCGCAGAAAATTTTATCATTTTAAAAATAGAATCACAAACCATATTTTAGATCTATACATTTTTATTGAAGATCATCTCGATCATATATTTATTATCTAATGTCTTTAATAAATGATTTTTTCCATGAAAATATGTATGATCTTCGACTGCTGTTTTGTCTAATGTTTTATTAGAAAATATAAAAGTTAGATTTGATTTGTCGTATGCAACTAATGAACTATACGATTGACTCAGAGCAATTCTATCAAAAATTGTTAGTTTCTTTCTTTTATGAATGAAAAATAAAATGGAAATCAGTCGATCGATCGTATTAAAGCTTATTCCAATATAGTCTCTCATTGTTTTTTTTTGCTGTCATTTTCAGAGGATACATTAGACAAAGTAATATTTTGCTTGGAGTTTATTTGATTAATCTGTGTTTTACATTTAAAAAAATGATATTATCATGAATTGATAATTCCATATAGATATTATGGATATACATATATATATATATATATATATATATTCTAACACACAAGGGAATGAGCCATTTGTGGAATTATAAATAGTAATGCTGATATAGAATAGAATGACTTGGTTACAGTATGTCTAATTATTGAGATGAACACGCCTAGAGATTTTACTGTTTGTCATTGGCACGATCGGCATTATTAGTCGGCTGTGAGTAATGTTCGCATATCTTGCATGGCTTGACGAATACGTTGACCGAATCGTTTTGAATCCTAATATGATACCGATTAAGAACATGAAAAATCTTATCAATCGGTATCTTACTGTTTCTGATGAAGATTTATTCGATGATATATGGAAAAAGATCAAGTCTTCAGATGCAATAATGTAACTGACACCATAACCATCAGCAGCTACCTTCAAATAATATTTGTGTTTTTAAATAATATTTCTTAGTCAATTGTTAGAAAAAGACATTTCTTAAAATTTTGAAAACTTACGGGCCCAAAACCACCACCAATCGATGCCAAACTTCGATTATCAACAATTCCATATTTTTTAGCGAGATCTGGATTTTTCTTTACTAAATATTTCAAACGTTGATCATCATAATTTGCTGGAGTCTTAAATAATTAACAAAAAGCAAAACAGACAATTTACTATTTCAAAATTTTTTATTTGGTTTTGTTTAAATTACTTGACTAGTAGATAATTTCCAAGGTTCATGAAGAACTTGTTGTAAAAATGGTGAATCAATTTCGAGATATTTTGATAATACATATAAACAGAATAAATGACGATCAATTCCTTTGCCAGTCATTGCATCACGATATTGTTGTTGATGATAATCACAAGCATGACGAAGTAATTTAACACGTTCGCTTTTCTATTAACAAAAATCAATTTATTTTTAGAAAAAATGTTGTAATTCTTTTCTTCTCTTTTTATCTACCGAGACTGTTGGATCATCCATTGCTTTAACCCATTCGCTTGATTCAATTGAACATGAACGAACAGTTTCAGTTCGACCATCACGAAATAATCGTGTCATTGATGCTTCGTATGTTAAATGAAATCGACCCGAATCCTATGGATAATCGTAGAAATAAAAATAAAAAATAAATCGATTTAATTACTCGATAATGAGCCAATTGAAGTACCATTTGAATATAAGCATCAGGTGATAAGTTACATTTTTTCATGAAATTTTTTCCATAAGCATCATGAACACAAACATGAAGATCGACATCATCGTATAATTTTGTTGCTTGAACAAGACTTGTTTCAATCATATCATTGCACTAAACATATTAGTTAATATGAAATATAATAAAAGTAAAAAATAGCAAAGTACTTACACCCTCTGGTATCGACCATTTGAGTTTAATTGGCTTGAGAGCAGTAAAACGTGGTGTACCACGTGTATTACCAACTTCATCGTAACTGAAAATTTATTTCATGAAGAAAAACACAACCATAAATAGTAAATTGAAACATACCCAAAGTTCATAATATCTTCTGAAATAGCATACTCATATAATTGACCAGAAATGGGAGCATCAGCCTTAAAATTTTCATTTATTTTTTAAAGAAATTTTCTTTTTTACTTTGTTCTCCTTTCTTACCCAACTATGTTCTACGTTAAGACCAACCTAAGAAAAGAAACAAACTAGAAAAGCAAAAATTCTCATTTTCCAATTACATACCACTGCGTTCTTGCTAATAATGAAGGAAAATGATTTATCAAACCAACGATTATACGCTTTTCCATGAAGCATAGCATTTGCATAAGTATCATATCGATCTTCAGCTTTCTAAATAAAATAAAGTAATAATTAGCAAATTATTGATGAAATTCATTAGTTAGTTGGCACAAGCACAACGATTAGGACAACAAGGGTAAAAGCAGGGTTAGTTAACATCAATGTAGAGATTTATAACCTCATCATTTATGGATGCATGATCATTTAACTAGAATTGGTTCAATAGAAAAATGGAGAATTTATTTTTCTTGATTGCCTTTCTTTTTGTAAACTAAACATAAAAGAATAGGACTTACCACTCCTATATCAAATTCATCATCATCCAAAATAAGTACAAATGCTGCCTTTTCAATAGCTTCTAATGATCCACGATTAGCACCGCTCAGAAAATATTTTTCGCGAGCTTCAGCCCATAATGTACGTTCACCAGCTGTCAATGCTGCTAAATGCTCTTCACCATAATCTGGTGGTGTTGTATCTCGAACGATTTCATCCAATTGACTAAATAAAATAAAAATTTGAAAGAATACTATCAAATCTAAATAGAAAATCATACAGTTGAAGTTCACATGGTTGAAGTAAATTATTTTGATAATACATGAAAACTTTAAACCAACGACCTTTATGATAAACAGCAATATGATGACTATCCGAATAATGAATAATTTTATCTAAAACAGAAACAATCAACAAATCATGAAGTAAAAGATACTCTACATACCTGATTCTTTTCCAGCTATGCGCACTGTATTGAATTGACGCTCATATTGACTCGAACACAGTGGAATTATTTTTTGTACCATTAGCTAATACACAATATAAAATTAATCAATATAAATGTACAGTAACTATTAAAAAATCTTCATACTGATTTAACAGAGATTATTTTCCGAATTGATAATTTGCATAAAGAATCAAAATAGTAGTAGTTTTATTAGACAACATGCATCTCAATAGGGATTTATGGAAAACGAAATTTTCGCTTTTCAGTGTCGAGAACTAAAAAATTAAAAGTACTTTTTTGCATGACATAAAATGAAGCATCTCGGAACTTTTCAATAATGAGTTTACATTAAAATTAAGAAACTATTTCACTATTTCCTAGGGGAACGATAAATTAAATTAAATTTTTTGTTCTCTAATCACTCTATCCAAATTACTATTTATATTCTTTATGTCAATTACAATCAATATGATCATTTTCTTTTTTTAATGTAGTATGTACATCTTTTTAACAGAACTTACTGGTTTAGTTTCTTGATGATCGAGTTCACTACGATATTGAAATGCAGCACAAACAACATTGGCTCCACGTGCCGTTTGAATTGTTGTTGGCCTAATATAGGCAGCATCCTTTATGTAAAGAAAACAAAAACAGAAAAATGTTTCAATTATTAATCATTCTATACATACAAGACCATAGAAATTACTGTTCACCATTATGGGTGATCGACCACGTAAATAAACAAATTTCTCCCACCAATCAGATACCTATAATAGGAAAAACCTAATTTTATTTAGCTAGCATTGAAATTGCTTATTTACATAATTTGTTGATATTAGCCATTTTAACCATAGATATCTTTGCAATTTTTTTCCTATTGTTCTTCGAAAATCTTCAGCTAATACTTCCATACGACGATATTCAGTATCATCACAAAGTGGGCGAATAGTTCGTAAATATCTTCGTAATGTATCATCTAAATTTGGTAATGGTAATGTTGGTAATACACTTTGATAAGAATACAATGATGGATTTCGTCCAATGAATAATTTAACTAAACCACCCCATACTTTTGGACCTATTCCTGACATTTTACCATGTTCTTGATACATCCAGCCATGATAAGAAAACAAGTTTTTTAATATATATTGTCGAATTTGGATTAAAACTACATATGTACCACTTCCGAAAACCAGACAGGCAAAAGTACGTGAATTATCTGGTGCACAATATCGACTGAATATATTTGAATTAAGCCAATCAATTAAACCATTGGAAGGATCGCGACCTTTGGTATCCAAAATATAAATCATACCACACCAAGCAATACCACGGGCTGGATGACCCGGGTATATTGAATTATATAAAGAATTCATTGTGCGACGGCAACGAAGTTTCCAAGAACGTAAACCAGCATAGACCAAAGCTTTGAATACATCATAACTAACATTGACACTCACACCTTTGGAAATAAAAATAGCATATATTTATATGCGTAGGAACATATACACATAGCATAAATTGTGTGGGTTCCAATTCATTACCTTCAGCGCCTACTGTAAATTGAAATGCAACAGCTTCATGTGCTTCAGCCATGATAAATATTTTCCGTATCACTATCAATATATATGTATATATTTAATGAAAAAAATATCCAATGTTAATTGTAGATATACCGTCTAGTGATGATTATATAATTTGACGTAGTAACGTTCTTTTTTAGTGAAAAAGAACGTATAGAAGTGTAGGTTGTTTTGCACGTTTATGTTAGTAGTAATATGAAGGACAGAAAGGAATGGCAAAAGAAAGGAATCAGCGAAAGTGACAGAACGACAAATGTAGTCTGCCGAAAAAAAAGGAAAAAAAAGAAAAGCTTGATCTGTGTTCAATAAGGTAAAGAATGACGTTTTTTTTTAATCTAAAACAGACAATAAGTATTCTTTTTTTCTTCAGAAAGATCATTATAAAACTGTTGCATTCAATTCTATCAGACAAGCAGACCAACACTCAACGAATATAGAGCTCATTATTTTATTTCTCGAAATGATCAACTAGTGATTGTTCATTGTTTCAGTATACTAACTGTTTTTGAATTCTTGTTTTGTTAAAAAGGTTGGTATATTAGACATGATTTTATTCTCTTCTTCTATTTAATTTTACTTTATTTTAAATTTAAATCAATTTAATTTATATTTGATCTTATAGTGTGTTTATTCAAATTTAAAATAAATTAAAATAAAATAAAAGAAGAGAATTAAATCATGTGTAACTAACTGTTTTTCTTTTTCTTTTTAAATTAAAAAGATAACTCATCTGAAGACCTTGTCTATATAATGTGTCACGAGGAAAAAATCGATAATAACACTAGAGAAGGTCGACAGAATGAATAGAGTGGAGAAAGTTGTGAAAAAAATTGTATATGTATATATTTTTTTTAAAGACAAAAACGTGATTGGAAAAATTTGTTGATTTCTTATTGTTCTTTTAATTTTCGTAGCTTAAGATGTTTTTGAATATTGTGAGGCAGGATTGTAGTAAGAGTTTTGAGGTGGATAACCACCATACGGTTGTTGTGAAGTGAATTGTGGTGGAACTGGCATTCCTGTTGATTGAATATACGATGGATTGATGGTTGCTGGTGACGAGCCTGATGGTGGTGGTGGTGGTGCTTGTTGCTGAGCATATGCATTTGATGAATTCATATTTGTATTCATGCCAGGAATAAAGGATTTTTGTTGCATTGAAGATTGTGGACTGTAAAAACCACTTTGTGGTGGTGGTGCCACCGGTTGAAATTGTTGTTGACCTATAAATGCTGATGTTTGTACTGTATTTGAACTTGGCAGTGGTGGAGCTGAACTAGTATTGAAAGCTGATGATGTATTCACATTTGGTAAGGTTGGCATAGGAGGAAATGGTGACTGTGGACCACCGAATGTAGATGTTTTATTTTGTTGATCATTATATCCTGTAGGAGCAAAAATTTGTGTTTGTTGAAATGATGTAGGCGGGGGTGGTGCTTTATTCGAATCCGTTGTTTGTGAAGGTTGATATTGTTGTTGTGTATTAACTGTTAAAGAATGAAAAATGAAGTTTACAATGGAACTTGTTTTTAAATCTAACTAACCGGTTGGTACAGGTTGTGTAGCTTGAAATGATTTCTGTTCACTACGAACTATTTTATTTGAATTAGACAATCTCGATCGAATACTATCAGGCGTGGTTGATCGTTGAGTTTGTAAATGTTTGTATGGATCAAATTCACGTGTTGAACTTGGAACAAAAACAGGTGTAGATGCTTTTGTTGTTGCTTCTTCTTGTTGCTTATTTTTTTCTTCTTGGTTTGTTGGTAGTTGAAGTCGATCAAGTATTGCTTGTACAGAATTTCGAATTTGTTGTAATTCAGTACGAAATGTTTTAGCATCGACTAAACTTCCTTCTTTATTAACATTGTCTGTCGAATTATTTGGAAATTGTTCGCTACCATTAACCAATACAAATACGCGAAGGACTTTATGAAAATTTAATGCTACAGTTAAATCGCTGTCATTTAATAAGGTTATTTTATCACCGTCATCATCTAAATATTTTATAGTTAACTCATCTGAATTCGAAATTTTTCCGGCAAATATACGTTCCATCATAAGAACAAGTTCTAAAAACAAACAACAATTATTCATTGGTATGGTATTTTGTTAGCATTAGTTTTTTTATTTACCATTTAATGTTAGATCCTCATTGTGTATCATCATCTTACGAGTATCATCACCTAATTGAGCTTTTATAATTAATTTACCGGATAGTTTATCACTATTTGGCGGAGTAGATGATGCTGATAGTTGAACATTTGTTAAACCATTCATTGTAAAATTAATATAACCCGGATGTCTATTTAGATATGACAGTGGAAGAGAAAACGATAATAGATAGCTCACGCCGCAATAGATGAATGAGTAATAATCGTTTTTTTTGAAAAGTTGAATAGAGACAATCGTAGCCACGTTGATAATGGACTGAATGTAGATAGGTTTACAGCATGCCAATCAATTTATTGTCGATGATTAGATCCCTGATTGCAAAAATTGGAATAAATTTAATTGAAGCATTGCATATTAGCATCTTAAAATAAGTTTATTTTAGTGTTGAATTCATTTTTTTAAATACCTGTAGATGTCTCACGATCTCGGAGTTCGAAACCAATATTATTTATCATCATCATCATCAGTAGTTTTTTTGTCTATACGAATCGTTTCATAAGGAAAATTGAGAAGATGTCCAATATTAGATTTTCTGTCTGTATGATAAAATAATATCAATTTATTTTCATAATTTTATTCACTAAAAAAACACTTGATCAATTATACTATTATGTTATAAATTCTTCTGTTGTTTCACCAGTTACATAGTTAATTAAATTAAGAAAAAAAAAGAGCGAGTGAATCACCGATATAAAATAAAACGAAAAAAAATGAAAAAGAAGATAAAAACTAACATATCATGAAACTCGAATAGTATCAAGAACATATGGTGAGTCGATAGATGTAAATAAATTCGTATAACTACTATCATTGTTGATCAATGATTGTTGTACATGATGAAGAATCGTTGAATCTGTTACATGTGAAAGTATTTCTTGCAAATTTTTAGTCGATATTGAATTTGAACTTTTTTTTAATAGTGTTTTTCCTATATTTAATATACTTTGATCATCCACTGATATTAGCTGTTTAAATTCATCCCAATACATAACAGCAGTAGAACTTTTATTACATATAAACTGTTCTACTAAACAATTTGGCCATAATGAATGTTCATTATATGCATCAGCTACTATAAATGCATGCCAACAACGTTCAATAGTAGGTAATATATCACGTATTTGTTTAGGATTCAAATTCAATAAAGTTATTCCTTGTTGCTTTTGTAAAAATTCAAGTTGTAATGATATAAGACGTGCTTGTTTTAAACATTGTTCGCTTTGACGACAACAATCAGCTAAATAAAATGTATCAGCTGCATCTGAATAATATTGTAATAGGCTTTGCAATGTTATAGACATTTCAGCCGATGAATACGGCTGATTAGATGGAAGTGTCTTTAATAGTTTTTCGCCAGCATCACGATACATCATCGCTAATTCATGATGCATATGTAAATTCATTGATATCGATGTAAACGTATGCTCATCATTCGGATGATGCCGTTTTATATAATCAAATAATGCTGTATTTAAACGTTCATCATTCATATTACTTATTGTTGATAGTAATAAATCAAATTGATCTACTTGAAATAACATATCAAATATATATATCATTTCAGAATATTGTTGTAAACCTAATAATAAACGAATCAGTAATGGATACCCATTTAATTCATTCAGATAAAATGCCAAATGACGGACATGATCCAGTACTAAACATATTCCTTCCATATGACATGAATTAATAAAACATGTATGAGCATAGATTAATAAGTCAATGCAAAGACGAAGCTGTGGTGATGAAGCATCTGTCAACAAAAGCCATAAATAAATTTAAGTATCCATTTTCAGTTTGATATATAATGAGTCAACAAGACTTGACTATTCAAAATGGTTTCAAGCTCTCTTATACTATACAGTTGTTCCATAATCGATGGAACAAAAGAACTTTAGTCAGTTGATTACTTCATTTTTAATTAATTTCCGAAAAAAGAATATGTACAGGAGCCAATTTAAAAAATTCTTGCGAATTTCAAGTGACTTTTAAAATAAAAAAATATATTTCTGGCATATCTATAACTGTATGGCAATGATTGGGAAAGTTAAGTTCTTAAGCTAAAATATGAAATATTCGACAACTAAAAAATTTACGACGATTTATAATTATTGCGAAAAGTCTTATTTAATATGTTTCTGTTATGCAGTCGAAAACGATCATAGTTTGATGTTTCACGTGATCGAATCATATGGCTGAATCTCTCGACATATATGATCGTTTATGACTGTGCTTTTTTAAAAATCTGGCGTCACCTTCCAAGTAGATTAGAAGGTCGCTAGCGGTCACGTTAAACTTTGCAATTTATTTTGAAAGTGGTTCCTTAAAAATGCGAATCAGTTTTATTTTCTCCTCATGAAACGATGTTGATGATAAGCCTAAAACAGAACCGATTTGCTTACGCTCACTTCATCTGCATTTCAATGGTGTCGCCTAAATTGAAAATTTCACTAGACAACATATCATTTCAATCCACAATCACTCTTGATAGTGCTCTTGTAACACGCATTTACGTTTGCTTGTACAGATCCTCTAATTCATTGACGAGAAACAATCTCATTAGAAAAAACCTATTCAACCGCTATTTGATCGGAAAAAATGGCACAATCTTATCTAATCATGTCAAACAAAAGCAGTAAAATATCGGTAAGCATTAGCATAAAGCAAAATCTTTTAATTGCCTATCATCCACTTACTCTAGGTATTTTTGGTGCTTTCTTTAATTTTTTAACTTTTACTATTATTTGCCGATCGACTTTTCGCGATACACAAAAACGACCAACAGTTCATTATATACGTGTAATAGCGATCTTTGATATTCTCATGTTATATGGATGGAATATTGATCATTATTTATTTGAAGCTTTTGGATTTACTCTTCAATATAACTCAATACCAATGTGCAAGATTTGCTCATTTTGAAATTATTTTACAGCTCAAGTTTCAGCATAGCTACGTGCCTTTATTTGTCTCAATCGATATTTATCATTAAATCGTCTTCATAAAACATAGTTTAGTCAATCAAAACATGTCCTGATTATTATTGTTGGCATCATTACAATTTTCTTCATGATTAATTTTCATTTGCCTGCTATTATGAAGACGATGGTACCATTAATGATCAGTCTACTCTCTATCAGATATATCCATTATGGGATAATATTCATTTAGGTCTTTACAACTGTGCACCATTTATTTTCATGGTTATATTCAATAGTGGTGTGATTTATCATTTGCTTCTTCTTCGACACTACAGTGCAATTCATAATTCTCGAATTCAACATCATTCTATATCAGTAACATTAGTTATCACTGCATTTCTATTCTTAATAGTGACCATACCAGCAACAATTTTGTTTTGGATTCTCTTATGAAGTTGCAGGCTGTTTTATTTTGCATTTTTTTCGATTGTATACTTTATACATATCATGTACTATCATTCTCACTATATATAATTGCATTTACTGAATTTCGACATGACGTTATATTAGCTTGATAGCATGCGTTAAATGGAGAAATACTCAACCGTCGACCAAAGTAACAAATTTATTGGCTGGTTTACCACAAAAAGGATGAATATAATAAAAACAATTTGATGAATGTATGTAGGATAAACGGGAAATGTTATAATTTCATCGATTTCAAATGGCATTCTAATTCTTTTTGAATGCTCTAATGACAAAACTATGTTCTGATTTGCTACTTAAGATTATTTTTCTCTGTATTCTATAAGTTATCGGTGTACTTTTCTTCTTCCAATATTCTCTATTGTTGTCAATAAATATTATCGATCTGACACAGTTCATATGTCATTGAAAATTCTACATGCTGCGAAAATGTATTCAAATAAGTACTTTAACAGTCAAGAAACATTGTATAGAAAGAAAATATAAATGATCATGATTCATAAGTCTTCACGGTTTCATTAATACTTCTCAGAAAATATACAAGTCCTATGTAACAAACTAAAAAAGTTGTGTTGTAAACAGATTGTAAACGAAAAAGGACAATAAGACATTTCTGTCTCTTAATTCAGCTTTCAAAGAGAACTAATTGTTTTTTTCTTGCACTTTTTTAAACATACGAAGTACAGAGAACACCAGTGTTAATAGATTTAAAAAAATCTGTGAATCATAATTTACAGCTAGTTTATCGTGATTCACAATCGGTTTAATACTGACTTACGTCGTTCCGTAGTAAACACTTATCTGTTTCTAATAGATTTTCTTAAAGAAAGTATTTTAACTAACCTTGAAAATCTAAATCTAGCACTTGATCTTCATATATTTTTGACCGTTCCACAAGTTGTCTGCCAATAGCATCATAATTTTTTTCATATAAAATTGAAATAAATTGTTTATAGGATTCAATATTATTTGGATCAAACGGCCAACAATGATAGTCATCACTTGACTCATTTCTTTCATAACGTTTCAATGTTTTATCTGTTTCATCAGCAATTAAATCAACAAGTTGTTGATTGGACATTCGTAATTGTTTAGAAAAATTTTCTGCTAACTTTATTTTCGTTGGAAATGACGACGATGCATAAGAAATAATACGCATTAAAAGATTCCATTCATCATTATGTGCATTTGATTTTAGCACATGACATGAATCAATACGAAAAAGACGACCTATTTTTAGTAATGTACTGATTATTGATATTAAACGATCATCATTCGATGTTCGTGATAGAAGACGATCGATTAGTTTTGGTTTTTGATCATCAACTGTATTTGATTTTTCATCATTGGGTGATATTATTGTCATTGTTCGAAAAACATTTGTTAATCGTCTTCTATTTAATTGATCTTGATCACGAACATCGGGAAGTTGATCAATGCGCGTACGAATATCCGATGGTGACATGATGTTAAAATAAAGTCGATGTGCATAAGAAAAAATAGTTAAATTATATGTTGTCATACGAAATTTGCTTGCTAGCTGTAATGCAAGTTCAGGTGATGAACGTTGTAGAAATGCATTTTCAGTTATGGATACACATAGCCGAATATCTTTATCAGATAAATGATGTAAATTTGTTCCACCAGAACTTGTTACAGATCCTGATGATCGACGACTTACTGTTGGACCCAACGATGGTAAATGTGACGATGAAGATGCACGACTTGATGGACGACGTGTTGATTGTGTATTTGAATTTTTTTCTGTAAAAAGTTATAATGAAATATTTTATTCGTTAAAATGATTTCAGGGTTTGAATAGTTCATTGAAGTATAAGAAAAACCTATCAGTATAATTTCCTTTAAGATAAAATTTAGGACTTTGATATACGAATGATGTAAACTACAAAGATTGAAAAATCTGTAGCAGATAGTACTGTTTTATCCAAAAATAGCCGATCTTCTGAAATAATGAATTTTCTAGGTATTCGTACTCTTACTAGTAGTATTTGTATCAATTATATTGATAGTAGATATCTATATCTAATTAAATGTGTGGAAAAACTCTTTCGAATTTCTATTTAAAAATAGAAAAATGAATCATACAAAATTAACTTTTCTTATTAAACAAGAGTTTTACATAGGAGTATAGATCAAAGAAAAATTATTTATTCATTTATTTATTAGGTGAAATGAAACTGCATAGAATTATGTTTTTTATCATGAGAAAAATATGCGCTATACACTATCTTCAAGTTTAAAAAAGTAAACTATCTTGAAATCGGTCGATGGTAATTAATAGTAAAGATGGGTTTTAATCAACTCGATTTTCTATACTCTCAATATTGTTGAAATATGATGTGTAGGTCTCCTAGTACATAGGTTGTAGTAGTTATTGATAATGTAAAATCAGAGATCACATGTCAATAAAGCCTTATTTCAATATTTGAATTAGTTTCGTATTGAATTGAAAAAAAAGACGACATCATATTTTCTTATATAAATATGAATCATACCTGTGGATACAACAGTCTCTGTTGTTGATGTAACTTTAGTTGTTGCAAAAACATTTTTTAACATAGCTGCTTCAAATTCATTTTCAGCAACAATCTCTCGTGGTTTCTCTTCTTCAATTAATTCTTCTTCGACTTCAATCTCTTCAAACACACGTAAATAATCATCGAAATCATTTGGTATTAACTTTTCTGTGGCTATTTGATCTAATAAAGAATTTGAAAATAAACTAACCATATAATCAAGTATTGTATTAACAATGGGTTTATTTTGATATTCATGTATAAAACTAATTAATGCTGTCCATAATCTATCAATAATAGGTTGTTTTTGTGGAAGATTTATTGATGAATAATCGTATGGTTCAGGTAGATGTTGTGCTTGATTAGCAAAGATAAATAGTAATACGCGAACTAATTGTGACGATGTTGAACGTATTGATGAAAGAAAATCTCCATAAAGCAATGGTTTTTTCAAACGTTTCAACACATCTTGATGTCCTTGACATATAGTTTCAAATGCTTCATGCAATTCTTTATCGTCTGTATCAGGATTATGTTGATATTCATCGAATGAACACTTAAAACGTTCAAATAATGGTATGTCAATTTCAATATCAACACAAATAATTATTTCATCAACTAAATCGAAACGATCATGTTTTATTAATTGTTCAATTAATGTCATTACAGAAAGATAACAGCGATCTGTATACATAAGAAGTGACCAATCAAATGGAATAGGCGATGGTTGTTCTTCGAGTAGAGAAAATAGTGGTTCAAAACGATGATAAAATTCATTTTGTTCACCCAGCAAATGAAATATTGCACGTATATCTGTATGTGATGATACTTGTCGAAATACACACAATAATAATTGTGTTGTTAATTGTGTAAACCATGCGGATGATTGACCAAGACCAATATTTGCTTGTGTTGAAGATAAAAATTTCGGTTTAGTTGGTTCATTCAATTCGACACATGCATGACCAAAACGAACTAATGATTCCAATAGACTATCAGGTGCAAATATATGCGTAGCAAGAACAAGTACAGTCCAATGACCTAGTCCAGCTATGTGACACAATAGACGATTAGCTGAATTTGTTGTTGTCGGAAATAGATGAGGATACTTTGGATTTAATGATTGAAGAAATAGAACAAAGGCATCGATTGATGATACTTGCGGTAGTGTACTGTAAAGAACAGCTAGTAATGGACGAGAGCATTGTTGAGCACCTATAAATTGAAAGAAATACAACAATTTACGAATTGTTGTAATTATAAAGAGAAAAAAATTTAACAGAATTAAAAAAGATTAAACTTTAATAATAATGTAATGCAAAAACAAAATTCTGATCAGGAACAATGAAGAAAATCTGTAACAAAATAAAATAATAATGAATCGATGAATACATAGAAGTACTTCATATTTTGCAATCATCGAATATACATAAGTTTTATTTGGCTTCAATTAGTTGCTAGTCAACTATTTTTCTAAATTTATTGAAAACTTCCATAAATATTGTTATCTCAACAGGAGGATGTGACTAAATTTCATAGAAATCTGGTTCCTATTATACTTCTGAACAAACTTCGATTTAAAGATGTGTTTTTCAGTCACGCAAAGTACCGCACTAATGTGAGTGTATTATCTGTAAAATAAAGATTCATAGAATCAAATAAATTCTTAAATGGTCTCGGTGATGAGCAGCAATACAATACTGATTCTAACAGTTTGAATTTTTTGTCAAAATATTACTTATTTTTCTACTAAAACTTCACGGTTGGTTAGATAAATTTTCACTAAAATACTCATTGAGATATCTTTGAATAGTTTCTCTACAATTTTATCACAACATATTTTCTTTTCCTTTTCTATTTCAGCATCATTACTATCAGCCATAGGTCTTTCACGTAGAGAATTCAATACTGAATACCAGGGTTGACTCGACTATCGAAATTTTCGGAGATAGTCAGTGCAGTTGTTCCATTTAAGTAGTTAAATATTGGAGTCTTTTCAAAACCATCGCAACCTACAGTCGAATCAGCCCTGTCGACTGCTGTCAAATTTAGTATTCAATCTGCATACCTTGTTGAAATCTTAATTTCAATTGTTCTGATGTTAATGATTGATCAGTTAATAAAGCAAAAAGATCCTGTTTCAACAATGGTGTAGGATCATGTTTAACCAATCGTTTAAAACAACACTTTAAATGTTCAAATAACATACATTGTTGTGTATTCTGTTGTGTTTGTGATAAACATGATATAATATCATCAACGCTATAATGAAACAATTGTGAAATAAATAACATTTCAAACCAACACGAACGATTTATATAATATGTTAATAATGTTGGTATATGTTGTAATGAATATGTTTGTGAAAAAAGTTTAAATAAAATTAATTGTTTTATTGAATTTAATGAATTAAGATTTGTACTTGATGATAATAATTTTAATGATATTGATGTATGATCTTCTGAGACTATTGTTTTTAATATTCTCATTAATGATACATACAAACGTATGAAAAATGTATCTTCATTACATATATCAAATAAGATAATTGAGGATAAATAATTTTTTAATTTTGTTTTACATGATGTTATCAAGAAGTCTTTCAAACGAGTAAAACGTCGATCAATTGAGGTTGAGGAATTTTGTTGGTTTTGTTCTTGATCGTCAATAGATGATGCCAGAAAATGTGCAAACGATGTCAACGGACGATTTTGTCCGAATAGATAACGATAATCAATTGAATGTTGTTGTTGATCATTTGTATTGGTATCGCTTAATGATGAAAAACAATCGTGTAATATAGTTATATCTTCATTTGAACGAAATTTATTTGTTTCTTGCGATGTAAAACATCGAGATACATCGAGTTGACTAAAACGATCAAGTAAATGATAAATACTTATGTCAAATGAATTTATTTTTGAACATTTTGATAATAAACGTAATGCAGGATACTGCCTAATTAGATTACTATCCAAATCGTCTTGACGATTTTCGATACCCTGACGAACAATATTAACCAATGGATCAATTGGAAGTGTATTATCAAAAGAATTTTGTAATGCATAATCACATGGTTTTGAACGTAACCATTGACACCACTTTTCGTCATTATCAACGTTTTCATTTTCATCATTGAGTGAAAAATAAATATAAGCCGGATAAATCCGATAGAGTTTACTTTGCTTTAATATTAATGAATCATTTGTTTCATCTTGAATGATATTTTCCCAAAAAATTGTGTCAGATGAATTCGGAGGGATCCATTGAGCTAACCGTACAAAGGACCATTGAAGAGATGGATTTAAATGTGGCCATATTATCTCAAAATTATTCATTTTTTCAATTGAACTTAATTGTTTTAGTAAACTTAACGATTGACGCGAAGATGCATATACGTAAGCTAATTGAATTTGTTTTTGTAGTTCATCATCTAAATTGAACAAACTATTTGTTTGTTAATGTATAAAAATGAAAGTTTTCTCATTAGAATTGTCAAGGTTTTTGATTTAATTAGAAAACAATTCATTTTCAGATATTTCTCTATCACGAGTGTTCGTTACGAAACACAAATATTCAGCATGCATTGATTTCAAATGATTCTCATATGAAAATCGTTTCATGTTTTAACGAGTTTTTTTTCTTCTTATTTGTATTAGTGAGTACTAAAATTTAGCTCATCAGATTGATATCTTCGGTTAGCTGCAGCTCTTTGCTTTTGAAAATTTCTTCAGTGAATATTCGAATTTAATCATGTATTAGATTTCTCATTTCGTGATCGACGCCATCAACAGAGAAGAAATTCATAGTGAAAACAAGAGTTTTAAAATGTGCTTCTAAGAAGTTAGAGAAAATATTTTTCGATAGGGTCTTTTGTTATTATATCATAACTTTAATTTAACAATTCATTGTCAACTAAGTGAGTGCTATATGTATTTAGTCATACCTTTCGATAGAAATAATGGATCTTCACCCGTTAAATGTCGACCTTCAGTAGTTAATAACCATCTTTTTGCTTCTTGATTATCATTATCCATAATTGTATGCATCCATTCAAAAGCCACTTGTTTATAAGCAATTCGTTTTGACGATGCTATTGCTGGAGATGGTTGCTTTATACTTGGTTGAATATCTCGACAATTAAATGTTGTAACTAATGGAACTGCTGTAAGTATTTTATTCCAATATTCAATTGATTGTTTTCTACTATCAAGTAAATCTAAGATACTTTCACTCGTATAAAATTGTTTTAAATGATTTAATAAATTTAATATATTTATTTCTTGACTAGTTAAATAAAATTCTATACCAAACTCATTTAAATATTGTGCACAATAGATTCTTAAATGATGATAGACAGTTGTAGACATAATTCGATGTATAATATCTAATGGTGCTAAACCAAGACTAAATAAAATTTTTATAGATGTTTTATTATCTCGATCAGCTAAATTCTGCACACATGTATGTAAACCAACACGAAATAAATCACCAAGTAATATACTAGTCTCATTCGATAATACTAATTGTGGTGAATTATAAAATAAACAATGAAGAATTAAATCATCGCGTTTTAAACCTGGCTGTGAACGTTTCCATTGATTTAATTCATTTTGTGTTAATGGTTGTTGCTGTTGAAGACTTCTTAATATTTGATTTAATTGTTTTATTCCTGCAGATTGTAACGAAGTATAAGTATTTATAAAATGTTCGTGTAAATAAAATGATAATTGACGTGCCGAAAGAAAAAAATCTACTGGTTGATTATGACGTGCTACATAAAGTAAATGATCATTTAAACGATGAAATAACCAACGATATAATGTTGATAATTGTGTTTGTTCAATAGAATCAATTAATGATGTTAAGCCTTGTTTTGTTAATGGACGTTTAGAAGCTAGAGCAGCTTCGAATTGAGACTTGATAAAATCCATGTTGATATATTTAAATAATCAACTAGAGATATGAAATAAATGATGATAATATGCGATGCAGAGCAGAAATCTGACTGATTCGTTTTCTTCTTCTAGAGTAGACCAATTGTAATTTAGATGTAGATAGAAGTCGCACAAAATCGTTGGTACAGTAATACTCACAGGGAAGAAATAAAAGAGTATAATATACTGCAGTTTAGCAATTACAATATGAATATTTTTCAAAAATGTTTTATGGTTTATTGATACAGCTGAATTTGTTTCTGCTTTATTTCTAGCATAGAGAACATTCAGAAGCTGAAAACGCACACGTTCCGTTTGGTTTGAAAATTTTGATCCATATTGCATTTTTGTCTTGGTAACAATATTTTTGTTTTTCAAGACTTTTAATCGAATATTTCTCAAATGTTAATTAGAATATATGATAATATCTTATGCGAGTCATATGGGCTTGCAAAATTAGTTATTCAATTATTTGAATCTTTAAATAGCTACTTGATTAATTCTTCATCGACTCGTCATGATAAAGTAAAACATCTGTAGAATAGAACGAAATGTACTGAGTTTTTCTTTAGCAATTACTCTAACTTTTTTCTAGGAAATGACTAAATTTAATAGCATGACTGTTTATTTAATAAAGAATCCTAATCTTCTCAAATGAAGTGTACTTCAATAACAAATATACATATAAAAATTCAGACTAGGAAATACGCGGTACATACATTGTATGTTCAATAATAATTCAAAATCTAGATAAGAATTTTATCTTTGCACTTTCTACAATAAATTGTTTATCAGAATTAAATTTTTAATTCCTTTCAAAACTAAACCCTTAGCGAAGAGCAATAGTTTGTTCAAGGTTTTTTTATACATTTTATTTTTAGTGAAACTTACTCAAGCGTTGATTCAATCTTCTATTTATTTCACAAAAAAAATCGACCTGAGCACAAAATCCTTGAAAAGCATTAACATCATTCCGAGATGCATTCCTTGTTTTAAAAGACAATCTTTCTTTGATGGAGTAAAGTGTGTGTGTGTGTGTGTGATTTTTATTCATATGTTCTTTTTTATATGAAGCAAGATAGAAACAAGAATAAATCCAATAATGATAATTCATCAAAAAACCAAAAAACAAATTATGTACATAGAAATACTTGCCGACAAGTATAAGTTTAAATAAATGAATAATTAACTTAACAAAAGATAGGAAAGATAAGCATATGCATGTTGTTCAATAATTGTTTCTGATTATTGAGATAGGACAAAAAAAAATAAAAATAATGATATCTGGCTTAATTCCGTATGCGGCGATCTTCGACAAATATTTACTGTTCATTATAACGAAAGAAAGAGTTTACAGTTTTTTGCTAAACTTGTGCAATGTCAATAACACTTGTTGGCCGAGATTCATCAATAAACGGAATATCGTCAAGATTATCATAGTAGAATGGTTTTGTTGTTGCTTTAGCTGAATTTGAAATAGTGTCTTGAATAGATGATCTTTGTTTGCCGTTACTTCCTGTCTACAGAAACAAACGAACTTTTTCTTCCTATTCAATTATTTAAATCTTTTCTTACTGTATTATTTGTTGCTTTAGATGATTTCGTACCCGATGGTATGCTTGACTGTTCCGATAGCAGGGTTTCTTTATTTTCTTGACGCTTTGATTTAGGTCGCCTAAAAAATAAAAATAAAAGAATGTTGCTATGACGATACAAGGGATTTGTTTTCTTTTCTTCATATCATAATGATAGAACAATTACATCAAGAACCTATCAATGTTATTGAACAGCAACAATCATATTTTGAAAGAAAACGATTCTATGATTTAATATGTAAATCAGATCAATTTGACGAATGCTATCGAGATTATTTAGAACAAAATTTAAGCATTGGTTTCGGACAATTATATGATGCTAGTGATGAAAAATCTGAATTTTCGAAGCCTTCACTCGTTATTCTATCGCCAACATTAGACATTGATGAATTAGAAATAGCAAATTTAACTGAAAAATTAATGTCCTTCTTAGAAAATATGAAACAGTATCGAAAACGATATGCAATCGTTCATGTCGATGATAATTCATACATTATTGGTGGTTATATATTTGATCCAATTAATAAATTACGTAAATCACCTGAAAATGATTATAAATATAATTCAACAAATGATATTCTTCAACCGATTGTTTCATTACCAAATATGGCTGTAAGTTTTGGAATTGCTGCGGGTAAGTAGTTTGAAGTTGAAAAAAAAGAATTTTATTAAAAAAGTCTATTCGCTAGATGAGAAATATATTGTCTTGATTGGCGGTCATAGTCACTTGTAAATATAACAAAACATCTTAATGTTTACTATGTAATTTAATTTTCTCCAGAAATGAACCATTATCTCAATGTTATATAATGGAGATAAAAAAAGTACCTGAAACATGGCTATCATTACCTAATCTTCCATTACCTACAGTAAAGTAGTTGTTGTTTTTTTCTTATTCGTTAAAACTTCGAAAAATTAATTTTAGTCTGGTCCAGGAGTGGGAATGATCGACGGTGAAATACATGTTATAGGTGGATTTGATATATTATCATGTGAAAGTATAACACATGGTGAATATTATCGTTTAAAATGGCCAATAGATACTCAATGGACTAAAGAATCATCTATTGAACCTGTACGAGCTCGATCCTTGATTGTTTTAATTCCAAATGAAGTTGTTCCATTTGGAAGATTTATTTATGTAGCAGGTGGTTATGATGTTAATGTTAAACGTCGTCCTGTAGTAATACCAACTGTTCATATGTGTTTGTATTTTAACTATTTATATTCATTTTTAAGTATTTTGTTTTACATGTAGATGATGAAGAGGAAAAAAATTGGAAATTAATAACCAGTATACCTAATCTACAATTAATACATGGCCTTTCATTCTATGATGATAAATTACATGTATCTCGTTCAGTATTAAATATAGACAATCAATACAATAGTGAAATCATTCGTTCATATAATTTGAAAACAAATCAATGGATCGAATCATCAAAATAATTTATGAAATAAAATTTATACATACCGTATAAGAAAAATCCGTATGCATACAAATATACATATAATAAGACAGATAAGAACAGCTATTATAGCCACAGCAATCAATAAAATTCGTCTTGCGTCGTAACCAATACCCACAGTAGTTGACATTGAATCCGTGATGGTACCATTGATTGACATATTCGAATTCGAAGCAGATTGTTTTATGAGTAATTTACTAGATGATGATCCATCATCCGAGACAATATTTGATAGTAAGTCACTCATATTCGAATGAATATCAAAGTCATTCAATAAAAAAAAAAATCTATCGATAATACATCGTACATTTGTAACAGAAGTAGTTGAATATCTACAAAGGAAAAAGAAAAAGGTAAAGACAAAAGTCAATATATACATAGAACAGAGGAAAGAATGATGATTGAATTACTAAAGTATAAAGAAGACCTTCAAATAACAAATGGATTCTTACTCATACAAAATAAGCCATACTGTCTAATATTCCAATAAAAATTTCTAAGGTTTTTGGTTGATTTATTGTTAAAAAAATTTTTTTTTGCGATGATCATATTGTGTTAGTGTCGTATAAATATTGAAAAAACTATGCGTACTTAACCCGATAATAATTTTATTGCTTCTCTTCAACAGTTTCTTTCTGCGCCGTAAGGAAATGACAATGTTAATGAGCGTAATGTTATCCTTGTTTTTTATTCGTAGAAGAAGTGACAAGAGAAAAAGCTGCTTCGGGTGTCAATGAAGTTTATATTCAATATCCAATTTATTTTTATCAGAGAACCATAAAGAATAGAATGGAAACAGAACAAGAACAAGAAATTTTATGAGATAATAAAAAAAAAGAAGTCGACAACTCGTCTCTTCTTTTTCGTCTATTATTTGACTGAAGCCTTGCGAGTTGATACAATTGACGATGACTGACAGATTCATAATATAAAACTTAATCTGGTTCAAGAAGCTTTGTTTCTCTTTCGTTTTAATAATGAAATGTAGATGCTCATTGTTCAATGTATTAAAACCTAGTTGATGTGGCGATTTTCTATGAGTAATTTATGTATATCGATAAAAATAAGCAATAAAAAGGAAAGTCGTCATTTGTCGAACGATCAAACAACATACTTTATTATTATGTACTCACTGATAGGATTAAAGAAGGGAAAATTCGACTGACGTTCGTGTATATAATCGATTGTATTAGCTCTTTGTTGATGAATTTCTCATCATTCACATAGGCAAAAGCAAGGCGCGTTGGTTGTGAGCAAAAAAATGTGCCACATTAAGAAAAAAAAATAGACTGCGGACGTTTTATTTTCTTTTTCGGTCTTGTCTCGATATTTCTGTCTCTCTCTCTCTCTCTCTCTCTCTTTCTGTACGAGTGACTATGAATAATGTAACGGTAACATATTGTTAAGAATCAAAGAACATTAAGAAAACTTCGGTAGGATAGAAGTAAACGACATTCACCAAGTGTACGTAACAAGTGTGTTCGATGGCATCCTTTGCTATTCATTCAAGGTTACATTAAAAACATTTTTCATTGAAATAAAAAAGAAAACGTTAGTGATTAATTTCGTCACTAACAGGGTGCTATAATTTATTTTGGTTATTATTCATCTACATGCGACCTTTCTTCCAAATCTTATTTGAATATATACGGCTTCGATTTAATCACTATGATAGTCATGAATGAACATTGACCTCATCCTAATAGTATACAATTAGATATCAACAAATAGTTTACTATCTGTTGACAGCATTCAAGCAAAGACAAAAGATATACAAAATATGAATATATGTGAGCAGAGACAGTTTAATATCGTTTATCAGATATAAAACAAAAAAAATTGCATATATATATACATATACCCTACGTGGTTATTGTCCTTCCGTTATCCATGCACATTTGCAAAGGATAATTATAGTGAACCGAGTGACAGACATCAACAACAACACAACAAAGCGAAAAAAAATCGGAAGGAATTGTCATCATTTGTATTCTTAACGCTCTTATTCCGGTTTCTAGCATAGTCATGATGACTATACATACACACATAAAGACGGCAGACCATTTCTTCTTGTTGAACCCTTCTCCTGCTACATGATATTTGACGAAATATGTAGTTACATATTTATATATACTTGAACATCACGTTCATTATGGATTGTTTCACAAAAACAAACATAGTAGGACAACAGTTGAAGACACACTGAACAAATCGTTTTTTCTTCCCCTTCTTCTTATTCATAGCTCTTGATGTTTGCCACCGTCATTATTCGTATGTTATGTATCTAATTTTTGCTTCTACTAATGGAAGTCTAATGTTTATCTTATATCTAGATTTAGCTTCTGCTATTAATATTCATGGTTGATCTATTTTTCGTTCGTTTCACACTCGCTGTCATGCATCTTTATTCTGATGCCATAGTTGCTCGATGTTGTTTTCAAATATAAAAAAAATGACAACGAGAAAAGAATGAGAAAACTTCAGTATTCCATTGATTTGCACATATAAACATTGATAGACATATTTTTTTCACTGCCTATTGTACTGTAACTGTGAGCTGATTAGAATCGCATGAAAAAACAAGATCCCAAGAGTTTTGACACATACGTCAGAAACCACACATGCAAACATACGATACAGGCTATTGCTGAAGCGAATTACAATTAACTATCACAAACATCATGCAAGGCGCTTCTTCACATTTACAATAACAGCATGTCAACAAATAAACAAAGAAAAAGAAAAAATGAGTCAACAGAGAATAACATACGAAGAACTGAAAGTAAAAGTATGCAACTAAACGGTTTTTTAATTATTTAAAACGAAAAGTTTGTTGCTTAATTGTAGTTGATTAACTAAGAGATAACGAGCAAACAAAGAGTATGATGATGAGAAAATCTGAAACAAACACTGCACGCTACTCATACTAATGATGATGAAAGAGGGACAAGCTCACACTCGCATAGTCACGCGCAAGCTCACTTGTCCGCAAATAATGGACGCGCACGCACGCAGTACAATTCTCAAGAGAAAACGAGAGAATTTCTTCCGGCTCGTTAACCACACACGCACATGTATATATATCCATCTGATTATTAATAATCTTCGAAACGGTTTTCAAATCGATTCATGTTTTTTTTTTCTCTTTCTTACATTTAAAAATGAACATGAAAAATCTTTAGTTCTATTTCTTATCATGCAATACTTGAGTGATAAATAATCGTCTATTACCACACAAAAATTTTCTCGTTAATATATTTTACGTTGAATTAAGACATGCAACATGTTAAATAAAAGTAGAAAATGATTATAGACTTAACAAATATTGTTTATAAGAAAAGAAACTAATTAACTCCAGGATATTCGGAACATTTTCAATTGTTTAAAATTGCATAGACCAGACACAAACAATGAATACAAATCGTTGGCAGCTGGCATTGACTGAATTTATCAATAACTCTTGTAGATGAAACAGGCAGCTGCAGTTTTTTTTCTTTTTTATTGTTGATATTATTATAAATATTTGCCTTGTTAATAAATTGATAAAAAAATTGACCTATAAATTTTCTACTCGTACGTTATTAAACTCTCGACATTTAAGAACTTGATCTTTTCTATTTGTTTTTTGTTCATTAGGCAAATTCGATTTTCTTATTTTGATATTTTTACAACCCCCCTTCCCCTTACTGTTCGAGAAAAAAATACAAGATGATACTAGTTGTCTTTATCTTGTATCAAGTAACAACGTAACTATATAGTATTGCTTGGATGAAATGAAAAAAAGAGTCTATTCATTCTTATTACCATACCTGAAAATTTAATCAAATATATTTTGTATCATATTTTTACTTAAATGCAAAGAAACACACTACATAACAAAAAACAACGCATTCTACGCAGTTGACACACCGGATTGTTTGTTCTTTTCGGTTTTTTTTCTGTTCGAGTGTTTTACAGTTCTGTATAACTATAATCTCGATTGATTCCTATTGCGCGAAAAAATAACGGACATGTAAAAGATATATTGAAGCCAATAGCAAAATAAGTTAAATAATAATACGGCATTTCGACTTTTGCTAAACGTTTTGATTCAGGATTTTTCCAATCAAGCCCATAGATAGAACATGTTGCACGTAAAGCAACGGTTTTTACTATTTGTCGCGTAGCATAAATAAATATCATGCCAAGTATTGTGCGTACAATGCATAAACCTAAATTTGGCGCTATGATTGAATAAAGTGGTGGTGCTAATGGCTTCTCTAAAAGACCAATTTGATGCATTGCTGTTGTTGCTGAACATAAACCAAATGCACTACCTAATATGACTGTCGTGTCTGAACGAGCTGTGGACCATAATTTTAGGCTAGGATAACATTTTATCAAGAGAATTCCAATAGAAAAATTAAGTATTGGAGCAAACGAATGAGTTAATTGAAAATTATCAATGCTATGCACATATGGAAACATTATATAAATTAATATTAAAGCATAGATTGTACCAGCAATAATATCCTATGTAAAAAAAAAAGAGATTATTACATATGTAATACTAGAAAGAAGTTCTTCGAATAAATTTCACTACAAAAACTATTCTGAATATTCATTTTTGTCGTATGATCTTCACATACATATTGTGACACTCATAGATGTTTATTGGAAACTCATAATTAGGAAATTATCTGTCGGTAGTTACTGCCGTGTGCATCACAGATCCACACTTGATAGATGTGTTAATGCTTCAATGAATGCCGAGTCCGTGTATGTGTAAATTTATTCTTATAATTTGAGTATTTTTCACTGAAGCAATAAATCACTACGTAACAATGTTCAACTAGTATTTAAGAAAAAAATCCACTTCAGGGAAAAATTAAATAAAAAAGTACATCTGAATAATAAAGGATTTTTAAATGCAAAATGTTTCTTGAGATGGTAACATAATTACACGATAGACATATATATATATATATATATATATATATATAACACCTATGTCAACTGTCTATTGCTAATGATAATGAGCAGTTTTTTTTTATTAAACCATAGAAAATATAAAATGTCACGAAAAAAGCATAAATTAGTAGTACTCCAACAATATCTCCTTTAACTCAATTTTTCAATTTTTTACTGAACGAACTTTCGATTAATTGTTTATAAATATATTAAAACAAACGTTTTACTATCAAAAGTTAATACTGAGGAGATTTACAGTATTTAATTTTTACATAATATATTTCGTAGCTTTATTTTGTAATTTTTCTTCTTTTTTACTTGTCAGAAATGCACGACGTAAGCAAATCCAATCAACTAGTGGCAAAATCTGGAGAACTTGTTTTTGAATAACAAATCAAGTTTCACATATGTGTTTTGATTGAAATTCAATTATGCATTCTCTTTTGTAAACACTGCGATTCATTCGACAACAAACAAAACACTCATGGATCTATGTTCTATGAAAGCCTTTTGCATTTGAATATTGTTATTGTTTCGAAAACAAAAGACTTGTCAATTACGACTATATGCAACAGTCTGATATATAATTTAGATTTAGCAAAATCAGTGCCAGATGAAAATACGAATTAAATTAGTTTCATGTCGTTCTATTTAAAGCAGTTTGGTATGCGTGTGGTTTGCCATGCTTTTAAAACCACTTTAACAAATGGTGAAGAGAAAAAGTAAAGTTAAAAAAATGAAACAAGAATCTTGCATCATTGAGAACAGATAATACTGCTATAAAAAGTGTTCTTTACAATGTTCAGTGACTGTCTAAAAAAGATCATAATGTCAAAATGTCAAATACACACTGCTTCTTTCGATCATATAGACTGCATTATTTATTTATACATTTATGAATCACAACAAGTTAAATAGAACGATTGTCAAACGAAAACTGACTTTTTGATTCAAGGATTTGTTTATTCGAGCAACCTTAAAATTTGCATCGATGAATATTTTCAAAATATATCATAGTCGACTAGCGTCATATCAAAATTACTAGTGTAAATAAATCTTGAGAAAAATTTTGTCACATACATCAGACTTCAATTAGAAGTTTATTTGATCTTATTGAAATAAGACATTAAAATAAATATTGAAAATCATATTTTAACTTACAAGAAATGTATGCATACCAAGATAAATTCGGCTTAGGCACACCCAAACACATACAATGGCTGCAGCAACTAATCCAATCCACATATTAAACTAGATAAAGCGAACGACAAATGATGATTAGAAAATTCTACATTAAACTTACATCATATCGTTGAAGTGAAAGCAGAACAAGAGACAGTGGAATACCAGCTGCAAACATTGCGTGTGTTGAAGGAAACCCATATTCTTCAACATAGCTTAAAACACAATCAACTAGTGGATAAAATGTTGAATACAATACCAATTTTACCGTTTCTCTAATTTTAATACTGGTGGTGATGATGGGCGTGGTATAGCTAGAATATCTTTCGTTGCTTGTCCAATATACATAAAAAAAGCCCAAAGAATTGATATTTTTCTTGCTACAGCACCATCAACATTCCAAATCCTGAAAAAATAGAATAATCTCATTTGATTTTCAATAAGACAGTGAAAAAACGTTTTTACCATGTTGGAAAAAATAAAATATAGAAAATTTCATTACCAAGAGCCGCTCCAAACTGAAAAAAATAATACCAAAACCATGATGTAATTTTATAGTCTAGTTCTGAAGAATTGTTTTCTTCATTTTGATTTTGATTTTGATTTTGATTTGCACTATGTTTTCTTTCTTCGATACATTCATCCAAAACATTTGAATCATAATCTCTGTTTTCATCAGGAATCCGCTTATAGTCGTAATCATCATCATTTATTATATTGTTATTATTGTTATTTTTATTTAAATTATTTGCATTCAATGTTACGATACGATTAGATTTTGGTAATACGCCAAAGTATTGTTGAAATCTAGCAACATGTCCAGGTTCATGAAGCCAGATAACATAGGAGCGCAGAGAATTCCACATGAATTTAATATGCAACAAACAGTAAAATAAAACAAAAACAAAAAAAAATGTAGACTATATGTTATAATATTATTTGTTATCAAATTTCAAACGTAATTTTTTCTTTCTGTCATGCAAAGATAATGAAAAGAAAGGTATTGCGCATGTTAGACAACGAATAGACGAAGTTCAATACGATGAATAATGCCTTTATCTTACTCATCGATTTGTTGGTAGACAGATGGCTCATTTATTTTAGTGAATACAATAAATAGAAAAGAAAAGAACTACTATTCAATACACAATGGAAAGACATATGTATCTGGTATTAATTAATCGAACATGTTGCAAACATAATCTATTTATTCAAAAGTATAAAAACGATTGAATATATCTCTAGGGGATATCGGATTTGTTTGAAATGAAATACTATCTACGAATTCATTAGTTTGTAATTATATACAGCAAAAAGAAATACGAGCAACTTTCGCACGCAATTACCAATTTCTTAGATAGCGTTGAAACGAATGAACAGGGATGGCGCGAACGGGGGGGGNGGCGGGGGGGGTCCCCCAACTTTGGAAATTTTTGTTTCAATTTTACTCCGATTTGAAGAAAATAGAAGAGATTTTTATTGATTTTCTCCGATTTTTGAAAAAAACCTCCCGTTTTCAAGTAACCCTTCTATACTTTTATTACTTCGCGCCGTCCCTGCGAAAGAACCAATAATGACTTGAAACTTTTGAACTTAAACTCATTATTGAGTTTGCGCCTTTGTTTCAGTTAAGCCAAGATTACTAGTTGAATGTTTTTAGCTACATATGAGTTTAAAACTTTTAAATTACATATGATGCCGTCCTGTCTACGTTGTTAAGACACTAACTGAAATCTTAAGGTAGCGGGGGAAAAAACATCCAAACACTCTGTAGCTTTTTTGCAGATTTTTGATTTGTACAACGCTGATAAAGAAGAAATTTCACGTTGTCATACAGAACACAAACCTTGATTTTCATATAGAATAAAGTACACGCTAACAACTATCACATGTGTGAGAAAAAATATGTTTGTTCTATACCTTAGAAGAAGTTATTATATTTGCGCTCTTATCAAACAAAAGAGAACATACAAAGAAGGAACTATAATAGGTATCTGAATATTTTCTAAAATATCAAAACGTTATTTAAGACGAAAAATGCTGCTTTTATTTTCACCAAATCTGCTGTATCGCGATATCAATTTCATGGTAGTTTCTTCTTTGTTTTAATGTGTGCTTTAATACCTGTGGATTTATTTCGTTGTGTACTGAATACTTAACGGAAACGTAGAAAGTGATGGAGTATGAATTATGACGTGATATCTTTCGATAAATGACGAAAAACACCTGTGAAAACTTATATATGTTTTATTTGAATAAGAAAAACGTTTCTGCTTGTTTTTAAAGTATTCTACTAATGTAACGTGTCGTTTGATCACGCAATCAACATAGGAATTTTTGTTGAGGCTGTGGTCTGGTGTAACGGATTGGCTAGGTGTCATACATTTGTTTCTGAGATATACTCAGTACATACACACTTACTCTGAAATAAGATTTTAATTTATTCTCGATTAAAAAACACTAATTAAGAACAGTGCTAAAGGATTTTGTATGTGCTAATTAAAAATCATATAGATGCCGCTACTTGCGCCCGATCCATTGACAAGGATCATTATGGTAGCATTACATGTAATGACTCGATTCAGTGAAGATATTCTTTCTGTTTTATTTGGCGTCCAAATTACCATCATGCAAAGAAATCTTTACATTTTTATTGTTCAACACACGTTAAGAATTGATTATTTGCTGATGAGTTTTGTTTCTTTTTTTGAATTCTCAGATAACACATTTCTAATTTAAAATAATTTCTTTCACGTGATGAAAAGTACATACAATTTATTCGTTCTCAGTCCCAGGTTGAAGTCGAAGAGTTCGGCCTGGAAACGGCTGGTTCCGGTGTAACGATAAATATGGCCCTTATTGGTTGATTTATTGAGACAAATTGTACAGAGGTGGAGTAGCTTACCGCCACTCACGGTAATGATGTTTATTCACTTCTTCACATATCCAAAGTGTAACAACTTCATACATAACACAAGTATATATAGGAGAGAGAGAGATATATATATTAGAACAATGGAAAGAGAACAGAAGAATGAGGAAGGAGAGTCATCGAAGCGTGCCATCAATATCGGCACAACCGGGTAGTTCCGTTCATTTTGTGGAAGCAGTATTCCAGTTGGGAATTTTTCGGATTTTTTCCGGTGATTTTCGATCAATCTCTGCCGGAAAGCGCCGGAACGTAGTAGGAATCTGCCGGAAAAATCCGGCCGTATTTTTTACCGGAATACTGCTTTTATGTTCCATCGATTTCTCGTGTCTTTCTGCAGGATATGGTGGCTTTCCCGCATATTTCCTGCGTATCCTACGGGATCCGATGATCGGAATGTTCGACCTGGGTATACTTATTTGTTACATTTTCTTAAATAGGGCGAACATCTTTAAGAAACTTGTTAACCTACACTGAAAACAAAAAAGGTACGGTACCGAACTTAAAAAGGTTCCGAATTTTGAAACGAATTCTAAACCTTTTTAAGTATCGTACAAAACTGGTTTAGTATGAAACTTATTCCAATAGACAAACTTAAAATTAGGTTTCGCAGATTAAGTTCCGCAATACCAATTTAATAATAGAGTTGACATCAAGCGGGCGTACTAAGTCACCGGAAAATATGAAATTCAAATATGTTTTGCCTTTTACATTATACTGAAGTAGAATAGGAGTTTGGTTGAGAGCAGCATTATTGACCCAAGTTATCGTTTTCTTGCGTCAAAAATCTTTACATCGATCATCAAACTCCAAAAACTCATAATATCAAATATATTCCTTACACAGAAAAGAAATAAACGGGGTCAATAATGCTGTTCTCAATTAGTTTACCACTCTACTTCAAGATAATGTAAACAGATCAACTCATCTTGAATTTCACACTTTCCGATGGTCAGACAGGCCGTTATAATGGCAGTTCTGCTTTACAGAACTCGATAGGCAAAGTTAAAACGTCAGAGTTGCATGAGTATCATCGTAAACTCTTCCTATTATTTCAAATTCACCCAAATTAAGGTCGACTCTCCCAGAATTACTGTTCGAAGCGGGTTCAAAGTGCTCTTTCTAGTTGCCTAATCTTAGCTTCAGAGATTAACACTCTAGGGAAGGCACGATGAGACGTTCAAAATGTAACAGGAGGATACAAAATGAACAACCTTACTTCATTGGCTTTACATAAGACACAAATAGAAAATATTTCAATGAATTAGCCAGACTTGCCAACTATTAAAAACACTGGACCATAACCAGACTATTGACTTGAATAATCCGAACCGAGCCAAAGTTTAAATATGACATCCATATCGATATCATTACTTCGGTTTAATAATCTTGCAATAGAAAAAAATGATCGTAGTTTTCGCGTTGAAATTATTTGCCAAATTGATTAGTTGGGCAATCTGAATGAAAGAAACATATGTGGAGGCTAGCTATAAGTTAATATTTCCAATTAATAATCTACAACAATGAAAAAGCGCATATACTGTTCAATGTAGAATGACTTGAAATACCATTCGGTTGCATAGTAATTTATGAGAAGAAAAGAATTTTCGAAGTTAAATTTAGCTTGAAGTGAAAGTTTATATATAACACGCTACAACAAAGAAAAGAAAGTTATTATGTAAAATGATGAGGGACCTGAAATATTCTTCAGTTCTGCAAGTTGAACGATACAAAGCGTTTTCAGATTTACATTTAGATTGAGAAGAGTATTTCTATCTAATAATTTACAATAGAGGAAAGAAGGATATACAGTAATCCCAAATATAGATTTATCGGAAATATTGTTAAGGTGGACGACTTGGACGAAAAAAAAGCTTTTTGAAAGTTGAATGAAACTTGAACCGAGTATTTTTATCTAATAATATAAAACAAAGATATAGTTATAGTGTTAAGTGTAGAATTACCTGACATAATGTTGAATGGAATGATTTGAAAGAAATTTAACCCTTTCAATAAACAATATAACTGCAAATATAAATTCTAGTAATCTATGGCAGAAGAAGAAACAAATATAATTGTTGCAAGTAAAATTGTCTTATTTGTTCACCTCAAAGATTTGAAGAGCAATATGAGTATTAAATGTAATTTGAGATAAATGTTTGAATTGGGGAATCTAAAACAGAAAAATAAAAATTGTTATTCAAAAGATGAAATTACCTAGCAAATAGTTCCGTTGGACAACATGTAAAAAACCAATGGCATTGGCTCTAAATATAAATTCATAGAAACATTGAATTTGAAAAGTCTATATTGGATAGCTGAGATTGATAGTTTTAAGGATAAGCGTACATCAGGGAGGATTGTGATGGCGAACTTAAAAGAAAAGTACTTCAATTTTCCAGTTGGAGGAACCTATTAGAGGTATATTACGAAACGTGCAAGGGTTTCATACGAAACTTGACTCAACTTTGGCTTTCACAAAAGCATGGTACGAAACCTCTGGCACTTCAGAACCTTATAAAATGATCACACTGAAGTTTTTCTAATACTAAACCTACAAAAGGTTTCGCAGGTCCATACCATAACTCTAAGGGTTTAATAAGGTACCACCAAACCTTAAAGGTTCCGTACAGCACCTTTATTTTTTTCAGTGTAGGATGTTTTAGGATCCGATAGAATCCGTCGTCGGATTAGTCGATCTGAGCTGTTTATTTAGATGCAATTTAAACTGGACGAATAACATGAATCTAATTTTGTAATATTTGTATCACGAACATCATATTTATAGATCATTTGTAGCAATTAAAGTGAAATCTCTATTGAATAAAGCTGTTTCCTTAGAAGTGTAAGTTATAGATTTGTTTAAAAAAAACAATTCTCCTTTGTAAATAATATGAATCTTGTGTACTTAAATATGACTTATAATTAATTGAACAATTAAAATATTGGAATGAGCGATAAAATAATTGAAATGAGCAATAATCAAATTTAGCAATAAATATATTAAATGACCGATAATTATACTGAATGAAAAATAATCAGACAGAATGAGCAATAACTAATTTAGATAGAACATAAAATTTATACAAAAAGGGCAATAATAATTCGCTTATTTGCAATAATAAGTGTTTTCTTACCTTCATGAAATACTATTTGTCATTTATACAAATGATTGAATCGCAACACGTAGCACACTATAATTCTGATTCTGAAAATGACATTGATATGCAAACTCAAACCTCTAGCAACACTGAAGCAGTTAAAAGAAACAAAAAAATCATGTAAAAATGGATTCCATTATGCGCATGCAATAATAAAGATGACGCTATTAATAAAATTGGCCCTAAGAACGAAATCCTACTCTTATCAATTCAAAACTCTTCGAACACCAATCATCAATAACATTATCCAATTGGACTGATGCATATAGTAGGGTTAAGCTGAACGAAGACGTTATATCTATTTTCAATGGTGATACAACGATATATTATTTGTCTGTTGGTGAAAAAGTTACAATACCAGATAAAGAAATAAAACGATATGAAACTTGTAGATTTTACTCGTTTGACACGTACAAGTCCGTCTACTTTAATAAATGGTGTGTATGTTTACTTATCAATGCTGAAAAGTGGAAAGAAGCAATCTGCACCGGTCCATCATTCATGAAAAATTATATTTGCAAACACATTGTTGGTATATCCTTTAGATAAAAATATTTCAAACCTCCACCTGAAGCAAAAAATGTGGAAATTGGTACAAAAAGAAAAAAGGCAAACCATCGAAAGCAATAAAAGCTTTATTGGTACAATAATCACTTATATATATTTCATTTTTCTTTTTTTTTCTTGTCAATTGTAAATAAAAATAATGTAGTTTTTCTCTTTTTTGTTGCTCAAATATGAAATTAATATTGCTATATAATGAACTATTTATTGTTCATTTAATATTATAAAATTGCTGAAATATTTCAGGAAATAACAACATACGATCCAAAGATGACTGAATGTATTTTGTTGTATCATCATTAAAATAATCATTTCTCTTTACTACATATTTAATATCAACCCAGGTGAATGAATCCGAAAGTGAATACTATCAGATCTCATGGGATCCGACAAACCGACCAAATCCGAGCGGATTCCGGACCTACTACCTACTAACGGCTACGACGGAAAAAAAACATTTTCTTAATCACCAATGAATAAACATGGTATCAACAGAACACATGGGTAGAATGATTATGTTTGATTCTGTTAAATTCCGACACTGGAACGTATCGGATTTCAACACTAGGTTTCCGATTGTAGGTCCCACACCCGGACACCGATAGGATTTCGTCAGGTTTAATGAAATCCATGCTATATCCGATAAGATTCCGACACAAATCCGATAGGATCTTACTATCGGAATCAGTGTCCTGGAAAACGAATGAATTTCATCAAGTAAATTATTATTGTTAAAATCAAGATGATCTGTTGTTGCTTGCAGACGTTTATTCGTTGATAATGACAATAGTTCATTTACTATTTTCATTCGTTTGACCTTTTCCATTTCCAGTTTATTTATTTCCATTTCACGCCTCCTGTTCAATAAGCAGTTGTCTCTCTAGCAGTCGTATCTTTAATTTTCATGTTCCATTTTTTTCTTTAGTATCATCGCCTTCGCCCAGGCCGAACGACACGGTCCGTTTACTGGAATCCGTTTTACGGCCATATCTCTATTGTAAAAAAAGCCGTAAGTAGCCGTATTTTCACAATGTACGGTTCGTATTAGGCGTCTTTAATGAACACAGTAATACCAAATCGTTTACGGTGAAAATAAGACTACTTACGGCTATTTTACAATAGAGATACGGTCCGTAGAACTGATTCCAGTAAACAGGCCGTAACGGAGTTCCGTTTTGATCGACCTGGGCGTCCATATTTCTGTATTCGATATAATAATAGCTGACGCAGAAAAACGGACCGTACTTCAGTGAGGTTACAGTCGTATATATTGATAACCCTAATCGACTTTCCCCCAACGACTCCCCGGGGAGTCCCCGTAAAATAACGAAATCCCTGGGGAGTCCCTGTCGTGAGTCCCTGGGGAATTTTTATAAGGGGGACTCCCCGGGGATTTCTCTGAGGAGAATTGAAGAAATTTTTTAAAATAAAAAAAAAATTTTTAATTTCTTCAATTTTTAAAAAATTAAAAAGAATTTATTAGTAATTAGATATTTCATCGATTTTGACCAGATAACTTCCCGGGGAGTCCCCAAGGAGTCCCCGCAAAAGAACGAAATCCCTAGGGACTCCCTGGGGATTCTTCTAGGGAGAGTTGACTAGGGAATAGTGCATCATTTACGGTAACCATATTACTGTGCCAAAGATGATCGAACATATCGGACTGTTTACGCCTACATACGGTGTGGAAACGGTCGCATTTGATAACGTTATGGCAAAAATACGGATAACTGTATCCATCGTCCTGAGCTGCCTAATTATCTAGATAGAAAATAAAAATACAGAATATAACTAATATTCCACAGTTGCTTTCTAGTTTTTCTCTTTCATTTTTCAAGCATTTCATATTTATTAATAAAGTAAAAACATAGCTACTTTTTGTATTTGACATTTTCTTTGAAAAAATTTGCAGTAATAGATATGCGAAAAGCGAAGGCTCATGTTTTGGTCAACGACAGAAAGAATAAGTTGTGAAAGAGAATTAGTTTCATACTTCATACTTCGCACTTCAGAACTAGATTTATCTTCATGGATGATAGTTGATCTTTGTATGCTTGCTTACATTCAGTGAGAGAAAATCAATTGAATAGAAGAAAACCGGCGTGACATCTAGCGCCACTTTATATACAAAAAAATTATAAAATAAAATTTTGATAAATATTGAAATTATTTAGAAACTTATGTTTTCGATGATTTCTAACGATTAAATTTGCTATGAATCATATGTAGTGTTGTCATGGTATGAATTAATCCCCATGGTGGGAGCTGAGCGCATCTATTTTTTCTCTCTCTCTCAAACTTTGACAGAGCTAAAATGGTAGGAGTTGAATTGAAAGGAGCATTCCGTGGTGAAACACGTCGAAGCTTAAGATCAGGTAAATTATACTTTTTTTCGAATAAATATCAATGATAACTTGATAATCTAAGGTTTTGGTGTCTATCAATATTCCAATCCATACTTTCGATATGAAGGAACATGGCACGAAGGCAAAAAACATGGTATGATTTCAAGAAAGATTAATAAAATATATTTACTTGTTTCTATAAAAGGTTTTGGCAAATTAATATTTGCTGATGGTTCGTATTATCAAGGAGAATTTACTCATAATGAAATAATAGGACAAGGAACACGCTACTTTGCCGCAACACGTAATACATATACCGGTCATTTTTACTATGGTAGTAAAATAGTTTTTATATCTATATTTAATAATGAAATATGTTTTTTTTATATAGGCGAAATGGATGGACATGGAAGATTGAGGTTAGTGTTAAAATTTGTAAAGAGATTTATTCGAATGTTTGTTCTTTTTTTTTTATCGATCTAGAATGGGAAATGATGATTGTTACGAAGGAGATTTTAAATCTAATCATTTTGAAGGCGAAGGTAGTTATCTATCACATAATAAACAATTATATACTGGTAATTGGCATAATCATCGTCGACATGGATACGGAGAACAAAGCTATGTTGATGGAAGTCGTTACTCTGGTGATTGGGTTGCTGATAAACGACATGGTTTTGGTAAATTGATTGATATTCAAGAAGGATTTGTTATTTATGCAGTAATTGTTTTTCTTGTCTTGTTTTATTCACAAAATTTAATCATCTTTTTTAGGGTAGTTGGAAAAATGATTTGATGTATGGTGAAGGAACCTATAGTATCGGCGAAACTTATGCATATAGAAATGGTATGATAGTTAATAATTATCCAGTAGGTTGGCCATTTCAACTTTGCGTTAATGAGAATCAAACATCTACAATTGAACTTACTGAAGAACCAACAGTAATCACTGTTGATATTATTAATACTTTGGAAAATGCTAGTCGAGTTGAAGCTGATTGTGGACGCTTAATTCGACTTCGGTGTGGTCAAAAAACTGATCAACCAACAAGTGATAGTCTGCCAACACCATTGTATGTTATAATTTAAAACAAAACACAAATAGTTTTGTAATGTTCTTTTTTTCCCCCAGTGGCTATCATGTTAATTTGATTCCAAGAACTATACGATCGTCTCCATCTGAAGAGCAACCAGAGATAGCATCAAATGATCAAACCGGTCAGTTCATTGGTGTTCTATTTCGATATTTCGACTATAACCGTTTTTTTTGTCCGAATAGATATCAGTGAAAGAAAACATTTTCAAGATTCTATGTTAACTGCTGCAGATACTGGTCGAGCTCAATTTGTAGGCATTAATATTGACACATTTACAATTAAACTCGCTAGTTCTACTGCTGCTCCTGTGTAAGTTGAATAATCATATTTAGAATGTTAGGAGGAAAAGTAGATTTTTCTATTGAATTATTATTCTTGTTATGCTATATATTTGGGTGCAATCAGCTATCATTGGATTCTAATGCAATAAAGTTATGATAGTCATAGCTAAATTTGTAATAATTAAGATGTTGTTTTCTCCTTAATAGCATCTGTTGAAGACTATGTGCCGATTTATTTATTTTTAGTAAAAAATTCCCATGAGACAAAAACAATGTTTTGGAAACCGTAGAGCCAATACATCAAATGAAGTCAATTGAGAGTTATAATATGCAGTCGAATATATTAGAGCATGTGTACCACGAATTTTGCTACTAATAAACAAGATGTGTGCGAGCACTTTTTGTGGGTAAAATAAAAGAAATTAGTGGCTGTTTGAAAAAACAATAATAGAAAAAGCTTTTCTAAGTGCATATTTCCATTGAAATATTTTTGTTTAGAAATTTATTAACTGAATAGTTCTAAAGAATTTTTAAAATTAATTTCAGCTCACCAGCATCAACACAAACAACATCTAGTAAAAATACTCGTCGCAAAGGTACTACTGTCTTTGTTTCTTTTTTTTATCTTCTTCTATAATTATTCCTTGTCTTTTCTAAAATAGCAGAAAAGCCAACCATGCCATCGTTTGTTTTTATCATCGATGATATCACCGATCCAGTGCCATTTAATAAATCTCTTGATACTGTCTATTTACCTGTCAACTTTTCTGTTACGCATTTAGCTCAATGAAAGCTGATCGTTTTTTTTTGTAAAGCATTTATCGATTTTTTTATTTCTCCTTTTTTTATAGATAAAATAATAAAAGAAAAAGAAAACGAATGTCATTTCTTCGAAGTTCGTTTTCGATTCGAAAAACCAAACCTCGTCAAGTTGTCTCACGTTCACCACTGAAATTACCTGCTGAAGAACTTGCACGCGAACTTGGTCCACAATATCAAACAATTGATGTTCGTATTGGCACTCAAAAACTCGCATTCGATATTGAACGTGGCGATTGGATAGCAGGTATAAGCTTTCTCTATCTCGTAGTCATCTAATAGCAATATTGCTCTTTTTTTTATGTAGATGGAATAGTCAGCACAGCAGTTAGTGCTCGTGAAATGACAAAATTGGAGAAGAGAAAACGAGAATTAGAAGAAGATAATAATGTTCTTCGAACGAAACTGGATATTCTACTTGAAATGCTTGCTGAAGTCACTGCTGAACACGAACTTCGACGTAATGGTTAACAAAATAAATGTTGAACAGTATATTGTCTTGTGTGTAACATCTTATCTATGTATAGTAATTGTTGTTACGCATGTAAAGATCTGATTATCGATGAATTCGTAAATATACAGTTGCAAAAATGTTTACGTCTGCTTGTAGTCGTACTTGAAATAAAATACAACTAATTTGAAAACTTTTATCTAACCTTAACTGCTGCTATTTCATATGATTAAAAGTATATGTGTAGAATTGGATGAATTTCATTTTGGTAATTTTTATCAATACTAACGCTGTGTGTTGCATACGCGTATTGGAATACTATAAAATTGATGCAATCATACATTTCAACAGATATTCTCTATTGTGATGAAACTCTGATAGTGAGAAACAATGTTCAATGGGGAAAAGAACACAATTGACATGAAATCCATGGTTTATAACAATAAAAACTTCTAAGGAGAAATTAAAAAGCAATATTTATTATCATTTAAGTTAAAAATTTTCAACTTATATCAATTTGACATAAGTTAATACTGAAACGTACGTGTTCGATGATACTTGCTTCAAGATTGTTGAAATGTGAAAGATAGTCAATATTAGATCTTTTAATTGTGAATGTATATGTTGCAGGAGAAATTAAAATTCAGTAGAATTTAAAATTCTACTAGTAGAAATTAAAATTTTAATCTCACCTAGGGCAAATTAAAATTTTTTGTATTTTTTATATAATTTTCCATTTTTCTGAAATAGGTAAAAAAGAATAATCGTCTTGAGGTCTGGACAGGAATGTTTGTGCGAATGTCAATCATCTGTGTGGGTGTAGCTGTACAAAGTCAGTTTGAATGCACAATATAAGTGCGGATGAGCATGAGGGTGAGGGTTCGATTAGTACGGGCTCATATCCTTCCACACCCACACCCACACCCACATATAGACCCACATCCACCCACACCATCACACAAACAGTACATTTTTACCTATTTCAGAAAAATCGAAAATTATATAAAAAATACAAAAAATTTTAATTTNAATGGAAAATTATATAAAAAATACAAAAAATTTTAATTTGCCCTAGGTGAGATTAAAATTTTAATTTCTACTAGTAGAATTTTAAATTCTACTGAATTTTAATTTCTCCTGCAACATATACTAATAAAAATGAAATCGAATAGTATGCATAATCATTTAAGAGTTGTTAATAATTCTAACAGTGTGTCTTCATCTATCGGACATACTCTTAATATTGAATTTAATGTATTACACAGGCTTGATTTTGATTCATTTTATTATTCAGAATATTCGACCTATAAACGAATTCACGACGATTAAAGAGAACAAAAAAGAGGTTCTTTTTTATTGAGATAATAATTTAAAAGAAATTCTTGTAAACTGAATCATACTCGGTCTAAAGTAAATAGTATCTGTTATCTTTCGTTTTATCATTTCTAGTCATCCCATGTCACGATTTCTTCACTCTTCTTCTCAAATTGTACATATCTATCTGGCCAACGCCTCTATGATACGCAATACTTGGAAGGCCTTCATTTAAATATTCATTCATTTTCTTTTTTTTTCTGACGAAGATTATTCAATAATAATCTAAGAAAGTTTATCCAACCTTTTCTTAGCATTCATACTTATTTTATAGATTAAATGTTTCGATCGAAACTACCAGTAGGCAAAAAATATGCATTTCTAACCAAACGAGCCAAACCTCGTAAAATTGCATCACGTTCGCCACTCAAATTTTCTTCTCAAGAGTTTGATCGTGAATTTGGATCAAGATATCAAATAATTGACATTCATATTGGTGATGTAAGACTGATATTAGATCTTGTTGAAGGTGTTTGGAAACTTGGTAATATTTAATGACATCATCTTTAACTATGAAAGGTTCTTTCGCCTTTTTTTTAGTTGAACCGCCAATTAGTCCCGAAGAACTAGTCGCATTAGAAAAGCAAAGGTCTGAATTAGACGAGGACAACGCTTATCTTCGTGCTAAGTTAGACATATTATTTGAATTAGTCGCTGAAACGACTGCTGAAGCGGAACTTCGACGTGAAACTTCGAAATCATCACAATAAAACAACACTTTCTTCTTATTATAATTTATTATCTGTGCAATAATCAATATCTAATGGAATAAAATTTGACCACATATAGCAGAAAAATATCTTTTTGAAGTTAAAACTAACGAAACAGCGCCGAGTATTTCATATAATTCATCGAACAGGTTATGAATGATTATCTAGCAATGAAATAAAATATGTGAATAGCCAAAAGTCAGGCAACACTGATGCTAATCTTTTGCAACTCTTTTTGTCTTAGATGAATCATTGTACAGAAAAAAGCCTTGATTGAATTTGAATTACTATTTTAGACAATAATTCTAATTACTGAACAACGCACAGATACGAAGTTGAAGAGAATTGAACAGAGTACACCATCAGAATCTATAAAATCTATAATTATATTTGCAAGATTAGTACTTTATCACAATCACGTATTAAAAGTATCAATTATAAATATTCTTTTTCTAGAAGAGTCAATCTTTTCGAATCGACATTTGTTGAGCCTCTCTACTTGTATTTTAGTGTATATAATGAATTAAAATAACATTTATCAGTACTTTTTTTATATCATATTTACCTACTTTGAACAGAAAACAATAGAGCAAGATTTTTGATACAAACTAACATGGGCTAAAATTCCAGAATTACTTTTAAAAAATATTAAAACTTTGAAATCTGTCATGCTGAAATTTGCTAAGCAAATTTCATAATAACTATACAACCAGTATTCAGTATTTTTTCGAAGCAACTCAATGATGATAGTTATTTCATGCTACTCGGAAAAAAAAACGGAAATTTAGTATACAAGAATTGACAGGATGATGAATGTTGAAGGGGAAAATGCTATTATAGTTCATGTTTTATGAGCATATTGGAGGGCTTCAATTTTCTTTAGAATCACTGAAAATTAAAATTTATCCTATACACAAAGGCCAAATTGCCCTAATCCAGAACAAATAAACTATTGTTTCCGTTGTTTTTTTTTCTTACAAAGATTAATTAGTTACATCAATATCTTTTACCATTATATTCCCAAAAGACCACACAAAAATGAATGTCTCTAACGACTAACCATTCACATTCTTTAATTTTAGATATATATATATATTTTTTTGTATCGATTTTATGTACCAGTAATTTTTAAACAAAACGTAGATGTTTAAAAAATTTACGCTTTCTCATTTGCATATTGCTAATCCGACAGCTCTATCCACAAGAATAGTTTTATTCAAACACACAGAGGATTAAACTTCATTAGTCCTGTTGTCGAATAATTTTTTTAATCTTGAAAGATGATGTAATTATACTTATGGAAATGTCAAATAAATGTGAATGAAAATAATATATGTTAAGAGCACTCAAAGTTCAGCCGTAGGACAAATAAAACTTTCAAGTTATCCCAAATGAAACTACAATCTTCTAAGATTTTCATAGAAGACATAGAAAAATAGAATTATTTACTGACGTTTGTTGAACTGTTTAATTTTTAAATAAATCATAATTTTTAACTATGAGGGATACTAAAAAAATCATATTATATTAAGCAAGAAAAGTGTGTGAAGTTCTATTCAATTACGTCAATTATGAGGACTTTTGATTTCTAAGCTATTTTTTGGTAAATTTCGAAAAACAAATACAAAAAATTCACTCAAATAAAGAGTGTTACGCATAAAAATAAAGCTATACCAAAACTAAGAATATTATTAAATCATGAGATATGATCTGTGCTTTCATTGTCACTGTCTAAAATTTTGATTTAGTTATTCTATTATAATTACAGGTAAGATAAGTTGATATAAGCTGAGATCTATCAACGAACAAAAATATCAGTTTATGACTTTTTTACAATTTATTTAAAGTACGGTATTAAATGTGCCAGTAGAAAATATCATCGAATTAAAATAGCTCATATAGTACGAGAATAGATGTGGCACTTAAACTCAAATATTTTCTTAATGATGCAGCATTGTTATCAGTAGCATTTCGTGGTCTTCGTTGAATCAACATATCCTCCTACAAGAACAAAAGCAAAAATAAATGTTCGATTGAAGAAGGTTAGTAATAACATTCGAGTGTAGTGTTTACTATTAAATCTACTCAGCTACTCGAAACTGTAAGATTGATTAAAGTATTCTATAGTCAATAGAAAATAAATTTTCTCTCGATTAAAGAAATACAAATTTATTAAAATAAAGTACGATAAGTACAACTCTACTAAAAAATCTCTCGATTTTATTTTTATGATTGTCAACATTCTTTTTATTTTATTGTCGCCTATTTTTTATAGACGAGATCATATCGCTAGAATGCACTGATGTCAAATATGTAACTTATTAACTTATATTTTCTCTCTGGCATATATACGCTGTAAATCTATTAAGTTTCATAAAACCAGATTAAAAAGAGACAGAAGCTGTGAATTCTAACGTTATCAAAAAAATACACCAATAAAAGGAAATTGAGATAATATAACTTTGTCTCATTATTTCCTATCTCATAGCTATCCTACGAGGCATTGCACGTAGACCACGACCACCAATCCTCAATTGATCTCACGGATTTGACTGATATTTTTACAGTAGATATTTACATCCGAGCTAGGAATAAACCAAAAGTTTTATCTCAAACGGATGAGCCATTCTCGAGATATACCACTTGAAAGTATGGGTACTCAATCAAAATCAGACGTGTCTTTTACTGCAGTACTTTNTTATCTCAAACGGATGAGCCATTCTCGAGATATACCACTTGAAAGTATGGGTACTCAATCAAAATCAGACGTTTCTTTTACTGCAGTACTTTTCAGTATATTTTCATTGTCTCTCAAGTTATAAGAGATATAGCTGAGATTTTTTTCACCAAAGATACTATTGATTACGGGCTATCTTTTGAAACTCATAAAAGTGCCACATCCAGGAATAAATTTTAATGAGCCATATTCACACTTTGCTTGTTGGCCACGACGCCAGCTAAATCGTGGCCAAAAAGTAAAGTGTAAATATGGCTCATTGGCACTATATTTCATTTTCAGAAAGCATGCTCGCGCATTTTGGGCAACTTAGCCGGATCAGTGAGATCGTATCCACTGAAAGTGTAGTCTCATTTGAAAGAACACATCAAAATATATCGAATGATGTTCTCAAAAGTTTGGCAGATTCAATTTTGACTTAGAAAAAATCTTAACACTTTCATCAAAAATTTCCATCTGTAAAAATTTGACTTATCCGATATTGTTGTTGTTTCATCACTAACAACTAGTGTTTTTGAGATATTAACTTCATAGTTTGACCGTACTTAAAATACTCTACAAATTCATATACAAACATCTTTTGTCGCATCCTTTCGTTAAAAATATTCTAGTACAATGTCTATTCAAATTCTTCTAAATAAAGATTCTGTATTGTTTTTTTCAATTTCTCATCCGTATTTGAATAGAAAACACAAATTATTTCAAAATTAAATTCATAGCGTAATAGAGTGTGCAATTCTCTGTCATTGTACACACTAGAAACTAAATTGCGATAAATTAAAAAGCTAGAATTAGAAATTTGTAAGTATCAAAAAGCGGCAATAAATAACTAAATTTTTTTATTAATGATTAATTTTTTGAAACTTTGACAAATGCTGCTGTTTCTGGAGTCGTTTATCCTCTCTATCTGGGCCTAATTATATGAGTACTTTATTTATTTTGGTAGGGTCACGACTCTTCTCGATTTCGATTTCATTGAAATCGATGGCAGAAAAAGGATTCAATTCTTCACCTGTTGATTTTTAAAGTTCTATCACTGAATACATTTCCATGTGATGCATTGTACAAAGACGATCACCGTATGGAAATTCTTCAAGGTGCTGAATCGAATAAAATTGTGCAACACGATTGTATGATGATGATCTTCTTTGTTTCTTCTTAACTATGTGGAAAGAATCATTGTGATCTATATGTGAGCACTGACCAGGGCCTCTCCATCTTATACTAGATCGATATCTATGCAAGCAACCTAAAACATTCATAGATTGTAAAAATAAATGACACGAAAACTTGAATTTTATTATGACGTTTCAAGATAAATGAAGACGCTGACACGTTATCTTTTGCGAGAAAGACTTTTCTAATATCAATAGAAGGTGCTGATCGATCAAGAATTAAACTGCATTCATAAATTTCGTATGATCCTTAGTTTAATCTGTGAGTAACACCAATTTGTACTTAATAAGGTACCATACTATTTTTTAAATTAACTAATT